AATTTTATGGATTTTCACAATGATTATCAGTATTAATTTGAATGCCTACTGAATGTGCAACGGTTACCACAATAGAGGAATGTTATTAACATGTTATATAGATATTATCTTCTGAGCACTTACGGTATCATAGAAGTGGAAAACAGTAAAATAGCCATACAAATTTAGACAACTTCTATATGCATTTATATTTTATTCTAAAAATAAAACATACTGGAGATAAAAATTAGAAATATACAGAGTGCTCAGAGAATTCTCTTATAAGACATGGGTCTTTGGAGAATAGGAGGTCTGTGGTTCACAGTCTTATAGAATTAGGGAGAGATACTCTTCCTCTGCAGATGAGAACAGGCTATAGAATTCTAGAATGTACCTTAGCCGCTCCAGCTAACTATGCTGTAGGTGTCTCTGCCAGCTCATTTGTCAGTTGTATCTGTCTATAACCATCTCCTTGTGGTCCTAAAATGTTCTCTATTCCCAGTCTCTAAGCTTCTTCCCAGCAGCAGCTAAGTAAATCCCAAACCCTGAACCTTCAGAATTCTGCTGATGTGTACTTGTGATTGTCCTGAGTCTTAACCCAAGTGTGGCCTGCTAGTGTACCAGACCTTTCTGTGTGACTTAGTGTGACTTGGATATATTTGGACTTTATCATCCTCTGCATAGTTCAGCAGGTTTCAGAGTTTTCAAGTCTTCTAGGAATTAATGAGATAACAGAGATAGAGAGAAGGGGAAATTACTTGACTTTCAGGTGTATATAGGGTCCAAGTGAGGAAGTTCTCCACATTTTCTCTTCCTTGTGTTACCTTTAACTTTTTCCTCTTGTCTTTTCGTTTGCTTCCAGTGGCACGGTTGCACATTGATATTTGGCGTTGTGGATCACCTCAAACAGCACTTGCTAACCGACCACACCAACCCGAACTTTCAGACTTTGAAATGTCGTTGGAAGAATTGTGATGCGTTCTTTACTGCTAGGAAAGGATCCAAGCAGGTATGTGTGACCTGGAAGTCAAGAAATCTAGCTTCTTACCCCATTTCTGCCATCGCTACCTAGCTGTGTAGACTTGGTTATTCCACATGAGAGGAGTGTTGTAATAGGTGAGCAATCTTTGAAATCCTTTCCAACTCTGAAATTATTAAGATTCAAGGTAATTTAAGTCTTGATCAATCTGAGGATCCCTAGAGAAAAGGATGTAAGACTGAAGATGTGTTACTTCTGATTGATTCTTTTGTAGGATCTCGGTCTTAATCTATTTTAGGGACAAGAAATCATCAAGTTTGTATGCATGTGTATATGTGTATACACACGTGTGCACGTATGTAACTTCTCTATTTCACTTAAGCCGTCTTTCTTGAGATCTAATAAATAACTAACACAAGCCCTATTATGTCAGAATTTTGTTGTAATGAATATTGCTAGAGATAAGGAGATTTGGAAAATTTTTTTGGTTATTGATATATACATATTTCTCATGATAATGTTTGTTCTGTTTGAACCAGTCATAATAAGTGAACTGTTCTGTAGCAGTTGGATTTGAAATTTAGCCCTAAAGGGCAGGTTTTGTTAGGGACACAAAAAACACTATTCAGTTTTAAAACCCTGCATTTGAATTCAAAGACCTCTTACTATGCCCTATCTTAGGTTAGGAATGCTTTTATTTTTCCTAGTAATGCCACTGCTATTATTACTATTATAAATTGAATAATTGCAGAAATTCATGACTGTCTTTCATGTTATGGTACCTGGGTCGTTGGGGGTGGGGGAGTCTCTCTGTGCCTTTTAGGTTGATATGTGCCTTCTGTTAACTCTTAACTGACAAGCTTCTCTGTCCCTTTCTTCCCAGGATGCAGCGGGACATATTGAACGACATGCTGAAGATGACAGCAAAATTGATTCATGAAGTTTTTGCCTCCCACGTTGGGAAGTTGTTTAGACTTATTATTGCCCATATCAACCCCCTATGTGTACTACTCCTTCAGGCCTTCTCTTTTCCCTCTCCTTCCCCTCACCCTGCCCTCCCTTTAAAAAAAAAAAGGCAGGAAGGGCAATATGATTAGATGCCATGAGCCTGTATAACTCTGGGAATATGGGTTAACCCTTTAACGTCAAGCTGGAGGCTTGTTATTTAATGAGGTGTAACAAATGTTAAGAACATGCCCCTGGAGATGGTGTAGTGCAGACACACAATGCCCTTCTGTAAGGGCAGCATGATCTGTGTCCGTTAATGTGCTCCAGGTGTTTTAATAGATGCAGAATCTTTATCAGTCACATTCTTGGCAGATAATTTTCTTAAAAAATTTAAGTTATTAAAAGAGGTTTAAATACCCAACTAGAGTATCTGATTATTAGATGCAGTCAGATTCTGCATTTCCAGGATTGAGTTTTAATTTCCTTTCTGCAAGTTACTGCCAGGTATTTTCATGTTAAATTGGAAGTAAACCATTTGCTTTCTTAATGTAATATGCTATTTAAGTGTCAATATTATTCCTTTGAAATTGGATGAAGTTTGTGATAAGTGGTAAAGGACACAGTGCTTTTAGGAGGTAGAATGGCTGTTCTGCAAAAGACTGCACTTCAGGTGACCTGGGGCATGGCAGCTCAACCCTGTTCATTCAGCAGAAGCATACTAATTCCTACCCAACTACTTCTTAGTATGATTCTGTCTGCTTATATGAGTAACACTGATCTTTACTATTGAACTGGAGCATATAATACAAATATAATCTAGTAACAGAGACACAATAGAGGGGAAGCCTTCATTTTGTTTCTGGCTTCTGATTCTTAAGCTTGTGGGGGCTAAAACTTTAAGGCTTGATCCAAAGCTGACTTCCTTCTCCCATCCCCCACCTCACAAACCAGGTTAGGTTGACCTGGCCTTGGAACGCAGTAATTTTCCACTTGGACTTATAAACAATATTCCCAGCTCCTCTGTCCAAGATTCAACCATACCTTATGAAGACTATGTGGAGTTAGAGTGGAACACCTGAACCTGCTTGCAGAAAACCAAGTGGATTTCTTCTTTGTTTGAGAACGAGTATCTTTTCCTTTCCACCCCACCAAATAATGAGAGAAATAGTATTGTCTTGGGCTCCTGTTGAAGGGGAGCATTCTTCTCATTCTTTTGAGAGCAACCATAAGAAAAAATCTTGTTAGGTATTTAAGCGAGACTGATCTTTTTTTGGGGGAGTGGGGAGCATTTATTCTAGGCCATTTAGAAGTGAAACTGGAAGGTGTTTCATGATTTTTCTAACAGAGAAATGTTGCTTAGAGGTTGATAGAAAGGAAGGAAAAGAACCAATATAGCTTCATGATGTGAATGTCTTGGAGTCTGAGAGATGCAGGTTTTCCCTCAGTATGTCCACTCACATGTCCTCCCTTCAGCTCCAGGACATATTAAGGATTTGGGGCTTACAAATGGCTCTACAAATTCCTTCCTTTTCTATCCCTAAGAGAAAGAAACCCATTTTTTAACTGACTTGTTGTCTTCAGGAAGAAGAAAAATTCTATTTTATGAGATTCATGTATCTTTATCATTTTTGAATACCATTTTTAAAAAGTTTTTCTCATCTCACATCTCTGCTTCCTTTAAAGATTGAGAGTTGTGACTGGAGAATTCAGACCAGCCTGTGGATATAATGGGAATGCACCTCTCAGGGGAATTCATTTGGGTCTGCTCTGGCAGGCCTAGGTGTTCTTATTTTAGGCCATCTGTGGGTTGAGCATTTAGAACCAAAAGCCACAATCCAGGGCAACGCTAGACTTGCCTATGTGGTAAGCCAGATAATCTATTAATCAGCGGTCCTTAAATACTTGTTTCCATTGGTTAGCTCTTTTTAAAACAGAAGGAAAAGTGACCTGGGGAAAGTCTGAAAGATCAAGGCTTGGCACCCTTGAAGTCATTACTTTCAAAAGCCCTAATACCACAGGAAAGTGGCATATTGGATGTTCTTTGGGAAGTCTAAGGATATTGAGAAGAGGTGATTGTGTCTTAAGAGATGAGGTAGCTGAAGTGAGGGAGGATATGCAGTGTGTCTGCCTTGTTGTGTTGGTGTGTGTATGTGTGTGTACCTTTGACAGTTTGCCACATCTCCCAAATTTCTTTGGAAGAATGCTAAAAACATTTCTATTCTAAGAAAGTGGAAATCTCATTTCACAGGTTAAGAGGTGACGCACTTTTTAAAAATGAAAATCTTATGGATGTGAGTTCTGGCTTGGAATTGAGGGAGTAAACACTCATAGCCTTTTTTTTTTCTTGGTAAAGCATTTTTAAGAGGCATGTGCAGACCTTTAGGGCTTTTTTGTTTGTTTATATTTTGTGTGTTTTAATCTTCAAGAATGTCAAAGCTGACCCAAGCTTTTGGTCTTATCTCACAAAGAAATATTGAGCATAGATTGTTGCTTGCATGTTGGCAATGATATGGAGAATGTAATCAGTGGTAGGCAACACAGTTAGAAGATAAGACCAGAAGAGGCTCTCGTTGGAAGTTGAGGTCGCATTATAGAAACCATTTCTGTGATGCAACTTTTGATTAGCTATGACTAATTTGGAGGCCAGAGCCCCAGGGAACTGCAGTGAGGGAGGGAGGGAGCACGCGCGCACATGCGCGCATGTGTGTGTGTTTTACAATGTTGTTTGTGTTATTGCAGCTCCATTTAAGAGTTTCAGGCTAGGATTTAGGCAGGTTTGAAGGAACACACTTAAGCCAAGCAAATCACAGTGCGGTAGATACAAAAATATGGAAATACTTAGACATATGAGATTACTTGAACCTGAATAAGGTCAGTATCACATCCCAGCCTTTGCAGATTCTTCTGCAGAACAACTTCGATCCACTCCTTAGACCTGGACCATGGCAGGCTGTTGCATTTTGCTCTAGACGACCTGTAACTTGTGTGCAGAGAACTTGCTGTGTGTTACTGTAATCCTAATGAGTGATGTTTTTGTCAGGTATGCCATAAATCTTCAGTAACTGAACATAAATGTGGTTTGAAGACAGTTTTGTTTTTGGGAGACAGTGTAACCAGTATAGAGAAGGGAGTTGTTGATAGGCAGGAGTCCAGGGTGGAGAGGGGGGCATATCTTTAAGTGAGACAGAAGCAGGGCTTGCTCAAATAGTTTGGCTTAAAGTCTCTAGCCTTTTAACTGCACTCCTGAGGCTTTTAGCAAAGCACCATCCACAGGGACCTGACTGCAAAATAATGGTCTTATTTGTGCCACTGATTCATCCCCTACTCCCACCTCTATTCCTCAGGGTCTGAAGAGAAGCAAGTTACCTCACTTGCTTCCTCCTCCTGTCCCACAGGCTCAGGACAGTGAGGATTTATTTGTACAACTGCCCTTGTGGGCTGTGGCGAGGTCCCCACCTCCAGCTTGCCTTCTCCTGACCAGTGATGCTGGTTTAGCAGATAGTAAGTAAAAGCTATGCTTGGAGTAGTGATAGAGTCTTGACTGAGTTTCATGTGCAAACGTGTCTAAGATATCCCTTATCAAAAACAGAGCTATGATGTTAACAAATTTCCCCAGTATATAAGATCTTTGTATCACATGGCAATCATCAGACTTTTGAAACTTTCTGAGATGTACCAGGTGTCCCAAAAGTCTTAGCTGAGGCTTTGAACTGCACTAAGATTTTTGGGACACCCTGTAGATTACACCATGTCCTAGGTAACAGTCCAGATGAAGCTGGAAAAGACTTTTTTTTTCTCCTTAGTTATATATACACCAGAGCTACTTAAGTATTCTTGGTTTAGAAATTTCAAACACAGTATGTGGATTTAAAAGAATGAAAATGGGTGAGACAGTTCTGAAGTATTTAATAAGCAAATACCTTGGCCCCCTTTCATTTTGGTACAAAGCTGTGAACTCCATGAAACTTTGTAAAGAAAGAAGTAAAGCAAATATTGAGAGGAAAATAAAACTTAAATACTTTTAATAATTGGCTCTGTCAACTTAATTGGCGCCCAGCTGTTTGTTTATAGCCAATTTAGCCACTTTTCTGTGCTTAGAGTCTCATGCAGTCAGAAGGGAACTTTGTTGTTCAGCCCTTTCAGAAGGGGGCTCATAGGTCATCTAATCCAACCTCAATTTAAGTAAAAAATTCTATCCATAGCATCCCTAACAAGTGGTCATTCAGCCTCCCCTTAAACACTTCTGTGAAACACTACCTACCCCCTTAAGGTAGCCCATTCTGTTCTTAAATAGCTCTGTGCAGATTTTTACTTGAGTTGGTATCCTGCTTCTCCCTTTGAAGACAGGCTGCGCAGGGGAGGCTACAGGTCATCAAGATGGAGCCTACAGAGTAGGGTGGGGGGTCAACACAGGTTTTAAATCGCTTTAGGAGAAAAAAAATGTCGGGGAGATTATGGAGAAGATTCCTAAAGACATACGTTGGACTAAAGGGCCTCCAAGGCACCTTCTAAAACGCTTGGAATGCTGAGATTCTGTACGATGGTTTCATTGTTAAAGTCCTAAATCATCAAGTGTTTCTTTGACAGTTCCTGGCCAAGTGCAGTCCATTAGCAGACCACAGTGACATAACCAACAGAAGTCACAACCTCAGTGCAAGTTTAAACATTGGGACCTTAACACAACTTTTTGAGTGTTTTCTCTAATTTCATTCAAATGAGTTACCAACTCATATTGGTGGTGGCCAATATAGAGACCCTTTGCCCCTGGTATGCAGTCCAGATATTTCAACTAGCTTCTTTCACATACACTCCTGTCCCTGGAAAAGTGTTGACAAGCTTTTTAAATAATCACTTTTTTAAAGGGACTGATTTTGAAAATTTGGTCTTTTCAGCATTTTTTTCTAAATCAAAATCTTATTGGGTCTGTTTTTTGTTCTGAGACTAAGGAGTTCTCTACCCTGGTACTGTTTTGGCTACTAGGTAGCTATAGAAACCCAGTCTTGTTCTATCTGTTCCCTGATGAGAATATCAAATGAGTCAAGCAGTGCACACTAGATAGACAGACACATGCCTTTTATTAATTTGGGAAGTCTTATTGGGACTACAACCAATCACCTGTGACAACCCAAACAAAGAATTACTCTGGTCTACCTTTCCTCTGTATAAATCCAGAACAAATAAAATCCTGAAGTAAAACCAAGGTAGAACCAAGGGCTGGGATAGAGGGAAGGAGTACAGGAGGTACTCCATGCTTAATGTCCATCAGCATATAAACAATGAAGGTCTTTTTCTTTAATGTGACCAGCAAAGGACAATGCCAGACAAATACCCCAGGAAGTATTTCTTTACCTTTCCTCGAGCCTGGTTTGGTTTTGAACTAGTTGTAGTTTTCCTAGCAATAATTGCATCATGTTCCATGCCTGAGGTCAGTTCTGATCTGGAGATTTGGGGACAGTCCAAAGAGGGACCTTGATTGGAGGCTCAAACCCTTGCATTAGCTCTAGGATCAAGTCAGCCTTTTAGATGCCTGGACTGATCATCTCCAGTTAAACTCTTCTCCCAGGGTTAAATTGGAACTCTGAAGTTGGCAGCGACTTGCTTCACTATAGTACTCTGAGATGATGTCATGGTTTTTATGGGGAAGAGAAGTTACACCTCTGTTCATACCTTATCCTAAAGAGCTAAGGTTGGTTGGGGAGCAGCTTTATGGGCCTGGGGAAAGCATCTGGTTATCCCAAGGGCCAATGTAGTGAATAATGAAACTGGCACATCCTAAGACTAGCTGGGAGTACAGAATGACAGAGAAGACAATCATCATGGGAATCACAAGGCTGTTAGAGGTGTTTGTTTCTTAGAAGTGACTAGCTGCTGTGGTTGACATCACGAACGGTTCATTCTATTCCATTTTAGTTGAGTTTGAGGGAGGCATGGTTCAGGCATACATAGTAAGCTGCAGCCACTGAAAGGGAAGAAGCCAAGATGAGGCGAAATTAAATGGAAAAAAGATGTGAGACCCCAAATCTGACCTTCCCAAAGTAAAGAACCCAGGATGCCACAGTGCTTCTTACATCCTTTCCTGCCTACTGCCATCCTGCTAGGAAACAGGGGCTGAACAGGTCCCCAAACCATTGCCTCAGAGTTCATCTGACAGCTGAGAGCTTTTGTCCCAAACTTCCCACTGCTATCCCCCAACCAGAAGACAAAATCCCATCAATCACTTGCTTTTAAGGGCTCTCTTCTCTACACAGACTCACAGGGTTGTGTGTAATAGTGTAGAAGTCAAGGTGGGCCAAGCCAATCTCTTGAGATTCCCACCTGCACCTTACAACAGAGTAGGGGGCTTCTTATATCTTTACCTCTAGAACATTGAGTTTAATGATGCCATCTCCATCCTTGTCAAAGGCTTGAAAAGCTCCTGTGTGAAGAAGCAGAGCAGAAAAAGAGATTAGGCAGTCCCTTCCTGCCCTGGTCACTATGAGAACTTACACTCATGAGAGACGTGATGGGGCCATCTTGCTTGTTCAAGGACTGACTGAGGAAGTCTTGCCCAACTATACCCCTACCCTCAGTAATTAGAGAGGGAAAGCCATCTTCCAACAGCTCAGTCTATAAAACAAGGAGCTTAAAGGCCAAGCCATTGCTTCCCCACTTACTGAACATGCCCTCCAGCCGGACAAAGCAGCAGATGAAGCTGTCAAAGTTGATGTTCATATGCTTGTCTGCATAGCGCATGGTGATAATGTCATAGAGCTGACTGTTGAGGTGGAAGCCTGGGGAAGAGAGCATTGAGGGAGGAGGTAAAATTCTTCTTTTGGTGTTCCTTTAGTCTTCCTCCCTCCATAGTTCCCACTTACAAAGGTTCAACTCACATGGCCCACTCTTAGACCTACTTCCACTCACACCCTCACATTCCCGCCCACCCACTTTGAGACCAGATACCCGCATCATTCACAGCATTTCGCATCTCATAGCTGTTGATTGTGCCGGAGTGGTCTGTGTCATAGTGTTTGAAGATTTTCTGTCAATAGAAAATTTGAAAACAGGAAGGGTCATTTATTTCAAAAATAGACATTTGTTAAGGACCTGATGTGTAGAGAGCACTGTGCTAGGTGTTAAGGGAGATAGAAAACAGGATAAGACACTCCCTGACTTCACGGAGCTAATGGTGGAAGTTGTCCTGGACCTGGAATCAAAGGACTTCAATTTCCCCTTTTGGTTCTGCCATTTAATTAACTGAGGAACCTTGGGCAAGTCAACCTGAACTTAATTTAAAAAAAAATCTATAAAATGCTGTTAATATTCACAGGGTGGTTGTGAGGGACGGACTTGGTAACCTTTAATACACTGTGTAATTATATATGGATGAGAAATACAAGATATGGCACACTATTGAGTATACTAGGTCAATCAATTAACAAACATTTATTATGACCAATGTCAGTTCCAGAGCATGCGTGGTGAAGCATGTTACCCATCTCCTAACAGAGGTGATGGACTCAGGGTACAGAAAGAAATATTTTCTTTTTTGGACTTGACAATTACAGAAATTTGTTTTGCTTAAAAGTGCATATTTGTTACAAAGTGTTTAGAATTTTCTCCTCCCCCACTCTCCTCCCAATGGTGCAGAAAATGGGAGGGAGTGAAAATAGATTTTTGTTAAGTGAAAAAAACAATCTAAGTATTTATTAAGCTCTTACTATGTACTAGAATTACTGTACTAAGCATCTGGATACAAAGTCGAAAGTCAAACAGGCCCTGCCCTCAAGAAGCTTACTACTTTCCAATTAGGGAGAAGGAGCTATCGGAGGATTGACTAGGGAAGCCATGTTGTAAGGTGTGGTATTTAAGTTCAAATCTAAAGAACAGGGAGAGGAGGGAAGACTTTCTAGGTATTTGGCATAAGTTATACAGAGTAGCTCAGCTTGATGGGATGAGAAAGCAGGTGGCTGAGACTAGTGTGACCAGGTAAGGTTTCATTCCGTCCCATGCCATTTTACTCATGCTACCCACCTCACCCTACCACCACCACCACCACCCCATACCATTCTGTCCTTCCCACCTGCCAGCTCTTGATCTTCTTCCAGAGGTGATGGAATTCCTGCAGGTTCAGCCGTCCAGAACCATCTGTCTGAAGCAAAATGGTCAGGACCACATGACCAAGGCCCCCAGCCATCAAGGTTGGGCAGAGAAAGGAGGGAGGTTTATAGAGAAATTTCTGCATAGAATATCCCTTCCAGTGACCTCGTGGTAAGGGGAATGAGCCAATTACCTTCCTTTGTTCATTGGTCCTCTTCCCCACCCTCCAAACAGTCTCAGGGCTGTAGGGCAGTCGTAGTGGGTACCTACTCTCTGACAAAGGCAGTCTCAAATGATCCTCATTTGCATGATTTGGAGGCTTGGTAACCTAGTAACCAGATGCTCCCCCTGAATAACCGCTGCAATAACTAACAACTTCACCAGATCCAAATTCTGTCTAGGGACTGTGTTAGGTCTTTACAAGAGCACACACTTGGGTATGGCCTTGTTTAGCTAGGTCCTACCCACCACTCCCTGGGTCTACAGGGCCACGTCATGGGGAGATGGGAGAATGGGGTGGCAAGCAAATGAAAGGATACGTCCATCAGGGCAATCATGCTTCGGCAGGACTCCAGAGTGAATCCATCTATCTTCAAGTCTTTATCTGGGGAGGGGGATGACAAAAAGTGAAGGTGGTGAGTCTTCAGTTCTGCTTTTCTGGAGAGCCTTTCCTTCCAACCTAGTGACTGCTCTAAATAGCCAGAGCTCTTCCCTTGCCTGGGGTGAAGGCATTCAAGTCACTCACGTTTGTTCACCACTGTGTTGAGAATATTTTTGAGTTCATCAGCACAAATTTCCATGTCCTAAGGAGAAAGGGAGAGAGTGAGGGTCCTCATGGAAGTGATGCCCTGTTAGACCAGCTACACAAATGTGGAATAAGTACAACTGTGTCTTGTCTGGCTATTTTGCCAAAAAGAGCATTTCTGGGAGCCAGAGGGAAGTAAGAGACTTTTAGCCAAGATTAGTGTCATGAAGTCCAGGCACACATCAGTGCAAAGGGCCCCTCAGGCCTTCACTCCAATTCTTTATTAGACTGGATACTCCAGCCCGAAGTGACCCCTTCCTCTAACCTTCTAAAACAACTAGTGTCTGAGCAGTTTATTTGACCATTAACAACTGACATAGTTATAACAAACATTTATTAAGCACTTGCAATGTGAGGGGCACAGGGGATATAAAAATGACAATTCCTGCCTTCAGCATTTATAAGCTAATAGGGGATTTGACATGCATGCAAAATATAGGGTATGTTGAGGTTGATAATCTATAAGAACACTGGAAAGGTAGAAGTGATCTAGGACTCAGAGGTAGGGAACCTGTGGCCCTCTAGGTCCTCAAGTGCAGCCCTAAGACTGAACCCAACCTTCACAAAACAAATCCTTTTATTAAGGGGATTTGTTCTGTGAAGGTTGGGTTCAGTCTTAGGGTGCCTTGAGGACCTAGAGAGCCACATGCGGCCCAAGGCCACAAGTTCCTCACCCCCGGTCTAGGTTGTGACAAGCTTTAAATGCTAAACAAACAAAAAAAAATTATACTTAATCCTAGAAATCATAGGAAGTCACTGGAGTTTTTTGACTATGGAGGTGATATAAGACCTATGCTTTAGGAAAACCACTTTGGCAGTTGTATGGAGGATGGCTTAAAGTGGGGAGTTATTTAAGGCAGGGAGACTTAATTAGGAGGCTAATGCAATTACCTAGGTGAGAAATGGTGATGGCCTGTGTCAAGGAGATATTGCTGTGTGAGTAGACAGAAGGGTGAAGAGCTATTCAAGACATATTATAGAGAAAGATATATTAAGATGTGGCATCTGATAAAAAGAGTGAATAGTTAAGGATGATATGGAAATTATGAACCTGAATGACTGAGAGGGTGATGGTGCCCTTAAGAGAAATCAGGAAGTTCTGAAGAGGTTTGTGGGGAAAAAAAGATAATGATTACTGTTTTGGATATGTTGAGGTTAAGATGTTCCTGGGACATCCGGTTTGAAATGTCCAATAGAGTTGATGATATGTGACTAGAGCTCAGGAGGAAGACTAAAGTTGGTTCTATAGATGTGGGATTCATCTGTATAGAGATGATAGACCAATGGAGCTGATAAGATCTTCAAGTGAGGAAATATCAAAAAGAAATGAGAAGAGGGCCGAGGACAGAGCCCTGGGGATGCCTATCCAGCAAAGAAGCCTGAGGAGTCATCAGACACACGGGAGTATCGAGGGAAGACAGCACAAAAAAGACCCGGAGAGGAAAAGAGCATCCCAGAAGGCAGTCCACCCATGGTGTCAAGTGCAGCAGAAGGGTCAAGAAGAATGAGGATTGAGAAAAGTCCATCATTTCACTTTTGAGGGATCAGTGGTTACTTTGGAGAGAGTAGCTTTGGTTGAATGATGAGGTTAGAAGCCAGACTGCAAAGAATTTAGAAGAGAGGAAGGAGAGTCAACAAGTATAAAAGACTTTTTGAAAGAGTTTAGCTGAAAAAAGGAGAAGAGATATTGTATGATAACTAGCAGAGGTGGTGGAATCCAGTGAGTGTTTTTTAAAGATGGAGACTTAGCCATTTTTGTAGTTAGCTGGGAAGGAACCAGTAGCTAGGGAGAGATTGACAGTTAGAAAGTGAGTGGGGGATGGGAGGAGAGGCAGTCTACTGGAGGAGATGGGGAGAGGATTGAGGATACATCTAGAAGGGCTGGCTTGGGTAGGGAGAAGGACCACCTCTTCATCAGACATTGGATTGAATGAAGAGATAATGGGAGATACCATCAGAGGGAGGGGAGATGAGAAAAAGAAAAGAAAGACCTTTCCGTAAATGCCCTAATTTTTTTGGTGAAGTATGAAACAAGGTCCTCAGCCTGAGGGTGGGAGGAAGGAGTGTCGTGGGAGTTTGAGGAGAGAAGAGAAAGTTTGGAACAGTCCCTGTAGTGAGTGAGATAGAGAATTGGTTGGAGGGGGAAAGGATGGTCTTGTTGCAGTGAGGGCCTAGTTGGAATGGGATAACAAAAATGTGTAATGGTCTGGTTATTTGACACAGGAAAAAATATCCGATATGATATCATTCCTGGTGTTTGCTGGAGCTCCACTCTTATCATGACAAGGAATAAGAGATCCAGGTATGAGTATGAACATGTTCATGTTTGTTCAGAATGGAAGAAAACTCCAATGATTCTGTTGCCTCAAGGATCAAATATAACCTTCTCTGTTTAGCTTTTCAAGCCCTTTACAATATGGCCCCAACTTACCTTTCTAACTTTGTCATGCATTACTCCCCTTCCTGAATTCTGTGGTCAAACTCAACTTGCTAATTTGTATACACAACACTGTGTCTCCAGTCTCTGTGCTATTGTACCTACTGTCCCCCATGAGGTAGGAATGTACTCCCATCCCACTTCTGTATTTCTGAATCCCTTGTTTTCTTCAGAACTCTGCCCAAGTGACTTGAAGCTTTTCCCGTCCTCCAGACCCCTAGTGCTAAGACAAATTTCGTCGTTGTTTAGTCATTTTTCAGTCCTCTCTAACTCTTCATGACCCCTTTTGGGGTTTTCTTAGCAAAGACACTGGAGTGGTTTGCTATTTCCTTCTCCATCTCATTTTACAGATGAGGAAACTGAGGCAAGCAGGATTAAGCGACTTGCACAGGGTCACACAGCTAGTAAGTGTCCGAGGCCAGATTGAACTCAGGAAGATGAGTCTTCCTGACTCCAGGCCTGGAGCTCTATTCACTGCGTCACCTAGTAATAAAAATTACCAGCCATTTATTTTTTATATGTCTGTTTATGTACGTATCCTCTCCCGAAATATAATGTAAGCTTCTTGAGGGCATAAACTGTTTAATTTTTGTCTTTCAAACCTCATTGCCTAGCACAGTGCCTGGCTCATGCTAAGTACTTAATACCTGATTGGTTGAATGAATGGAAGCCCCAAGATCACAGGTGTCTGTACACTACTGTAGATAGTTGCTTAATGTGTGTGTATCCATATGTATATATATATGTGTGTGTATGTATCCATATTTTATATGTATTTTTATATGTGTATATTAATTTATATTTATATCCTAGAACTAATAGGAAGTATGTTGTGTGTGTGTTTTTTTTTAACAAGGATGATGATATGTCATTATGTCATTAATCTAAGGCAGCACCTGATGACGATGAGAAAGGTGGGCAAGTTGGGAGATTCTTTGTGAGGCCAGAGAGCTTTTGACTCTGATTATAAAGCTATTACAAAGTTCCCATTAAGATTCTGTCTAGTGACCCTGGGCAAGTCACTTAACCCCAATTGCCTAAAAAAATAAACAAAAAAACACCAGCTAAGTCAAACCCAGTTTCATGGGGTAGCTAGGCGCAGTGGATCAAGCACTGACCCTGGAGTCAGGAGGACCCGAGTTCAAATCTGGCCTCAGACATATAACACTCACTAGCTGTGCGACTCTGGGCAAGTCACTTAACCCCAATTGCCTAGCCAAAAAAAAAAAAAGGATTCTGCCTAATTTAGGGAGGGGAAGGAAAATGAGTCATCTTTGTGGTGTGGGCAAGAAGAGAAGAGTCCATGTACCCTTCAGTCTCTCACCTAGGGTCTAGGCCCTCTTCTAGATCCCTGGGAAGGAGAAGGGGAGGAAGAGTGGAATGGGAGCATCTATAGGGGTAGCTGCTTTGAAAGGTACTCACATCACCAGCAATCTGTCGAAAAATGTTCTTGAATTGCACCTGCTCCTCGCTGTCCCGGTCAGTGTTACCTGGGGTTGGCTGTAGGGGCACAAAGGAAGAGGTCAAACAGAGATGGGGAAGGTGGACAGGCCCCCGGTGGAAAGCCGTGAAAGGGAAAGAAGGGCAAGAGGGCCCAAGAAGCCTCTCAGTTCCACATGGCTCTCTGGCTCCCAAACAAGCATCATGAATATCTTCTTTTCCTTCTCATCACTCTCCTTGCTAGGAACATTCTTTGTTAGATGACCTTACAGCCTCACTGTGCAGGGTTGCAAGCGTCCTTCTCTTGTTGGTTCTAGGCAGTGCTGGAGAGAGAAAGTTTCTGGTCCACTTCCATCTGTTTAGGAGTAAAGATTAGACACCGAATCCTTCCTCTCCCCTCCACTCTGGCACAGTCTAGCGACCTGCATTTAAATCCCACCTCAGACGCTTCCTGGCTGTGTGCCTGACTTCATCTCTCCAGGTCTCGGTTTTCTCATCTCATGAAGGGGCTAACCTCTAAGGTCCCTTCCAGCTCTAAATCTATAATTCTATCATTCCACAGAGAAAAAGCAGCTTTGCAAACAAGGTCCACCTGAGACCCTTTTGGCTGTAGAAATGTGCGGAAATGTTCTATTCTTCACTTTCTGCATCAGGCTTCAACCACCCCTATCTGGGCAAAGAAGAGCATTCCAGGCAATGCCAGGCCCCATGTCCCTGAGTCTTCATTAGGGACAAAGGAGACAAAGCCACCCTGACTCTCAGCCACCTCCATCCTTCAGTCTAGAAGTCCCAGCTCTATTAGGATAAAGCTCACTGGGCAACTGACCTTAATTTCTTTCAGGACCTCTCCTCCCATACCTCCCTCCTTGATAAACTGCACATAGCTGACTCATTCCTTCAACCCCTTACCCCACCACAGCCTGCAGTACCCATTCTCTATGTTCTTGTTTCCCTTTGCTTCTCTTTAATTCCACATTTTCTTGGGATTCTAAAAAGCAGAATAGGATACCCAAAACTACATTCTCTTTCTTTCTTCCTTAGGTGCCCTCGTTTCTTACTCTCCTGTCTGACTGATGAGTGAGGATGCCAAGCTGTTTTTGTACCCATCCCTTGGACAGGGCCTAGTGCTGGTAGCTAATCCTTTAGAGGCTTAGTTCCAAAGCACGAGTTCCTCAACCTTTACCCCTCAATCAAGAACAATTCCCCTGATGGCTTGGGAAAGGGATGGTGAAGGGACAAAAAAAGATGCAATATCACAAACCAAAGCTGTTGGTTATAAAAGAGAATCCCCACCCTAGAAACCCAGACTTCATGCCGCGGCCGCCACACAGGCCTCCCCCATTATTTCACATGCTCCAGAAACCTGAGTTGGTTTCTCTGGCTTATCAGAGTTTGTTTTGTCCTTTCCCTCCTCAGACTCATGGTCCACACCCAGCTCCTTGTTGCTGTTTGCTCTGTCAGACACGAAGATGATGGGCTGGAGAAAGGAAGGAAGGTGTTGGAAAGAGGAGAGGTAGCAAGCATTAGAGACTTGGAGGGAAATTGGGGAGAAGACTCATTCCCAGGCTTCGTTGGTTGCCCCCCGAGCCAAGCAGAGGCTGTCTCCTGTCAAGTAGCAGTGATGCAAATGTTAAGTGCAGTAAAGATTAAGCTGAGAGGTAAACAGAGGCAAGGTAGTATATGACAGAAAAGCACAGAACCAGGAGTCACCCTGCCCCTCACTAGCTATGTGATGTTAGGCAAACAAATCACTCACTCATGGATTACTGAAATGAGAGGAACCCCAGGGTTCATCCAGTTCAACCTATTCTCAGGGGTATGATGGAACTGGCTCATACCAGCTGGGCAATTGTTAAGTTTTCAATGTATTTGCCACTCAGAAATTGGCAAAAACTACAGATCAAAGTTTGATTTATTTTGCTAATTATCTGTAGACGTAAGGAAATGATGGAGGAAATCTTAATAATGTAGATTAAACTTAGAAATGTGTTGTGCATACATTTTTTTTCTTGGAGAGCTGGTTGGTAAACATTTACTACCATGCCCTCCCTATACTTGACCAAAAAAATCTTTTCTATATCCCTAACAAATGGTCATCTGGCCTCTTCTTGAAGCACTCTGGGGAAGGAGATCCCACCACTTCTCAAGGAAGCCCATTCCACTTTCAAGGCAAGTCCAATCTGGAAGTTTTCCTTAACATTGTGGGTTAAATCTATTTCTACAACTTCTACCTCATCACTCCCAGTTCTGCCTTCTGGGGTTGGGCACAGGTCTCACCCCTTTAAGTATGCAAAGACTGCTATGACCTTCTTCCCAAACCTTTTCTAGCTGAATATCTTCCTATGGCACAGTCTCCAGTCCTCTCATCACCCTGGATAACTCTTCTCTGGGTAGGATCCAGTTAATGTCCTTCCTAAAATGGGGCATCTAGAACTGCATATGACATCCTCTAAACCAGCACTTCTCAAGCTTCTGGTTTCAGGACCCTATTATACTCTTAAAAATTAATGAGGCCCCCAAAGTGCTTTTGTTTATGTGGGTTATATCTAGCAATAACTACTGTATTGAAAATCAAAACTGATAAAATTTTAAAATATCTAATATTTCATTTAAAATAACAATTATAAACCTGTTACATTTTAACCTAAATAACATATCTTAATGAAAAATAACTATTTAAAAAAACTTAGAGGGGTGGGTGGCATTGTTTTATATATATATACACATATATATGTATATGTGTGTGTGTGTGTGTGTGTGTGTGTGTGTGTGTGTGTGTATTTTGCTTTTTGATGAGGCAGTTGGGGTTAAGTGACTTGCCCAGGGTCACATAGCTAGTGAGTGTTATGTGTCTGAGGCTGCATTTGAACTCAGGTCCTCCTGACTCCGAGGCCAGAGCTCTATCTACTTCACCACCTAGCTGCCCCTGTTTTATACATTTTTGCAAATCTCTTTAATTTCTGGCTTTATAGAAGACAACTGGATTCTCATATTTGCTTCTATGTATTTGATCTATGTGATGTTTCTGGTTGAAATATAGGAAGATAATCTGGTCTTGCACAGATATGTATTTGAAAGAGGAAAGAGTATTTTAACAGGTAAATGATATCTTAGTATTATTATGAAAATAATTTTGACCTGGTGAACACCCTGCCAGAGTCTCGGAGATCACAGATCCACAACTTTGAGAACAACTGCTCTAGTGTTATCTGACTAAGGAAGTACAAGTGGGACTCTCGCATCCCTCATTCTATACCCTGCATCTCACTCTTTCTTTTTCCTTTTGGGCCAGACCTATGATTTTATTGGTGTTGACCTCCATGATGAAACTCCCTCTACCAATGCAATTTATGATTTTAGAGAGTTGCTTAGTGGCCGTGAGAAATGAGTGACTTGCCCAAGGTCACACAGCCAGGATGTATCAGAAGTGGGGACTTGAACACAGGTCTTCCTGACTCCAAGGTTACCTCTCTATCTACTGCACACCATGCTGCTTCTCATACTGCCATATCTCTCTTAGTGCAGTCTATGTTCACATTAGCTTTTTAGTTTGCTATGTCATACCATTGATGCATCTTGAGCTGGTGGTCCACTGAAGCCCCTTGATCTCTTTCACGTGAACCACTGTTATCTGGTACATTTCCCCCCTTTTATATTTGAGAGGCCCCAAGAGATTAGGTGATTTGTACAAGGTTAGAAAGCTAAGAGGTTGCAGAACTCAGGTCTCAGATCCAAGTCTTCTGACTCAAAGTTCTAATGATGGTAAGCAGGTGAGCTGTGAGTTATCACCCAGGGCATCTGGTTTGCTTGGTGTTTTTCACCCTGATGGATGTACCTGTTATTGTTGACCTCTTCTATCTCCTTTGGTCATGAAGAAGAGGCCTGGCCATTTTTTCCTGCAGCTTCTATAAATTGTGTGCTTTTTTTAATAGTAAGGCTTATAATTCGCATCTCCATTTTATTCTGTATATAGCTTGCTTTGTATATATTTGTTTGCATCATTACATTGTAAGCTCCTTGAGGGCAGAGACTGTCTTTTGCCTTTATTTGTATTTCCAGTGATTAGCACAATGCCTGGCACATAGTAGATATTTAATTAATGTTTACTGATTGATCAATTGATATACATGCATATGTATATTTTTTTTGCTAAAATATCCTTTATTATTGTAAGAAAGAATTCAGTTAAACATCTTTTTTTAAAAGAACTCTAGCGATCATCTAGTCCAACTGTTTCATTTTACAAATTAGGTTAAATAATCTTTTTGGCTTCAGTTGCCTCACCTGGAAAATGAGGATAGTAATTGACTTCTATAAAACTCTAAGACCAATAATTTTAGAATTTTTCTACACCTTCAAATGATAGTAGTGACAATTTCTAGCCTCTTTTCTTAGACTCTTCATCCATTGGAGGAACGGTTCCTATCAAACTCCACCCTAGTCTCTTGGCGACTCATTCAACTTGTGTTTCTTTTACTGTGGGTGTGGGAGGAGGAGAAAGGTTGTGAAATAAATGAAGTGAAGTGCTTGACCCTGTCCCCTGTGAAGAGGTCTAGGACATAGCCACTTCTAGGAATGAGATGATTATAGTGGGTATGGAGCCACACCCAGGAAGTTCAGTTGTGGGGTGTTAGCTTTTCACCTGGTAAAATCTTGGATTATAAAAACTTTTGAACTTAAAGAAAATATGTTGATAATTGTATTTCAATATAATTAGGGTTTTTTGGAGCCTTATGGTTTTTTTTAAATTTTAGACTTTTTAGATGTAATTATTTAAATTAAGATTATTTTATTTTAGATTTAAAAACCTTATTTTCATAGGTTTTACTAGACTGCCAATGCAGTCATGACACAAAAATGTTAAAAACTCCTGTCCTAGAGGAAGGACATGGTGATGGTCTCCTGAGGGAAACCTTACCTGCAGCCTTTTTTCTTTTCCCTATAATAGGTCACTAAAATTATCATATTTCTTGCCTTCTCAATAGGTGGAGGAGGGAGAGAATTTGTAATTGAAAATAAATAAAAATAAATTAAAAGTCACCCAAAAGCCCTGCATCCTCAGGGCTCCTGCCCCTTTCTGGCTGTCTGAATGGAAGTTTTCTTTCTCCATCCTCCTCGGAAGTGGGGCACAGACAGGTAGGGACCATTAGGCTTCCTCTGTCCATCCTTGGGCATCATGTGCAGGGAAGGCAGCATCCCTCTGAGAGCTCACATAGCACCCAGACTCTCCCGTGTTCTTCCCACACCAGTTAAAGAACACAGATTGAATGCTTACAGAGGATCAGAGAGGCTAATAACCATTCATTAATTCACTCATCTACTAAGACCAAAGCTTTATGTTAGGCGATTAACTCAACAATTAGTAAAGCCTCCTCAGGGGCAGCCTGGTAGGTAGCAGCCATGGAAGAACCATCAGTAGCAGTAGCAGCAGCAGCAGCCCAAACCCTGCTGTGGTTGTGTGCATGGGATGGATGCTTGCTCTAGCCATCACACCACACCTCCATGCTCTACTACCTCAGGTGGTCCCTGCCCTGTTACACCCACCTTGTGCTTTTTCTTTTTCTGTACAAAGAAAGAAACATCAAGTGCAGAATAAGTGAAAAGCAGGTTCACCAAGAGCCCACTGGCCTGCCTGTCATTTTTTTCTGTGACTCAAAGTCAAGTCATGACTTAGCAGCCTCGATCAAAAATTCAAAAGATTGGGCCATCTAGAGCCAAGGAAGTAAGCAGAGAGGGAGAGAAGTGAGAGTACACCTTCTCCCTTGGTTTCTAAGAAGGGGGTGGTGGTGTAGTTTATAGTAAACTCTATCATGGACCATGGCTAGGGAATGTAAGATCAAATTACTTGACCTCTTTGAGTCTCAGTTTCCTCATATGTAAAAATGAACTAAATACCCATTAAGTTCCTTTTCAGCTTGGAATTTATGATCCTTTAATCTAATAATCCTGTATTTTCTGGTTAATAAAATTTTCTTTAAACAAAAGTTGCCTTCTGCATTGTATGCTGATACGATGATTAAAAAGGTTTGAAAGACATAGTTTCTGGGCAATTTAATAATTTTATTAATAAGGCCAGCAGGTTATTAATAAAAGGATGGTCATTTGGCCTTCTCTCTTAGACCACAAGACAATCATGGAGGTGGGCTGACAGTTCATATGCGCTTCAAAGAGTAGGTGTTTCCTCAGGGTAGCAATCTGCTCTGATTGGATAATACAATGGAAGGTGAGTTATATTAAAATGAAGGGCTGAAAGTGACATTATGTCATCCTTGGACAGGGAAACTATCTCTAAACCAGACCACCCACAACTTTGGGCTATCTATTCAAAGAATAGCTTCTACCAGGGTAGGGTCTTGAACAAGAAAGTTAGTCCAATCATATTATCAGCAATGTTCTTCAAAAGACGGAACTTTTTACTTTATAAAATCTCCCCCAAATATTGATTATTAATAATCATTTCTTTCACTGATTACCAGTTTTCAAAGGCTTAAAATGCAATTAAATACATGTAAACACTACAACTATACTGAATATAATTTAGGATCATGGATTTAGAACCCAAGGTCATACAGGAAGTAAAGAGTAGAGTTAGGATTCTATCAAGATCTGTTTATCCACAAAATATCCCATTACTTTAAGGAGCAATTGTCATAAACCTTAGAGGAAGATTTTTGAGCAGGAAGTAAATGACAAAAATGGTATTTAAGAAGCATTAATCTGAAAGTAGTATTAATAACAATACCTCCCATTATACACTGATTTGAAGTCTCTGAAGCACATTACATACAGCATTTCCTCTAATCCTTACAATAACCCTATGAGGCAGGTACTATGATTATTTTTTTTTCCAGATGAAGAAGTTGAGTCTCAGAGAGGCTAAATTAAGGTTAAGGTCACAAGTAGTAAATGACAGAATTGGAATCTAAACATGGGTCCTCTGATTCCAAATTCATTCTGTTCTTCACACTGTATCCTTAATATTTCTGTGTCATTTTCTTTCTTTTTTTCTTTTAAGGCAACTGGGGTTAAGTGACTTGCCCAGAGTCACACAGCTATTAAGTGGCAAGGGTTTGGTCTGAAGTGGTATTTGAACTCAGGTCCTTCTGACTTTAGGGCCGGTGCTCTATCCACTGCGCCACCTAGAGGCCCCTTCTGTGTCATTTTCAAAGACACTTTAGGACCTTGCAATGCCTCATGTTGAGCATTATAAATATTAATTATCACCATATCAACAAAGTGGGGAAGTGCTGATTGGCAGAGAATTTGGATTACTAGGACTCTAGCTATCTGAGAGTTAACTATATTTTTATTGACCGAGGTAATTTCTATCAGGCACTCACAGCTAATCCCTGATTAGAAGCAGGATTTGCAAATCAATGAATAAAAATAACCTTGTTAAAAGAAGTTTTTGACCAACTAATGTTTTTTGAGGATAAAATACAAAAAGTTAAGGACCCTGATGATAAAGTAATAGGCAATTGATAGTAATCCTGATGACAAGTTAAAAAACAGGGACTTCCAGAGAAGAACAGAATATTCTAAGATTCCTTTTTGGTTTCTCGCCCTTAAACTTCACGGCCATCTCTTCTTTAGACCCTGGATTTGGGAGAGAAAAGGAGCATACAGACCCAAATACAGATTCAGTTGGTGGATTTGACTTCGAGCCACATATCTTGGCAGAGGAGAGGTGGAGGGGGAGACCCACTTACATTAGCCCTGTGACTTTATCCAGACCACTGTGGCCCCATACACTCTCACTCATAGCCCAGACTGCTCCTCCTGTCTGAGGCCCCTCTCTTTCCTCTCTTCTCTGACCTCTAGAAAGTAAAAATGCACTCAAGATTGCAGGGTTATCTGCTTGCCAAAATTCCAAACCAAAGTAATAAGAAAGAGCTTTGCCTCCTAGCCAAAGCTTTCTACTTATTGACCTCCCAATTTCCTCTCATCGACCAGGCCAAACAGCCATGACTAAGACTAGGAAAGGTCATTCTGCCCCATGACACTGCACTTACCACAGGGCGATCCACAGCAATTGTATTTTCGACATCTCTGTGAAGAAAACACATATATAAAGGTATTCGTAAGAGTGATGAATGATATTATTATTATTATTATTATTACTATTGCTATTTTGGGGAGGCAATCAGGGTTAAGTGACTTGCCCAAGGTCACAGCTAGTACATATCTTTGGCCACATTTGAAGTCAGATCCTCTTGACTTCAGGGCTGGTGCTCTATCCACTGAGCAACCTAGCTGCTCCGATGAATGATATTATTGATACTGACAATCTGATTTTCCTCTTTAAAAAAAAAATCAGACAAGTTGTTTTTACTGTTTTTTTTAAATACTAGCTCCTATTTTTATTTATCAATTCAATTTTTAAAAAAAAATCAGTTTTGTTAATCACTTCTTTGGTTTTCAGGATATCTAATCTGATGTTTAGTTTGAGGATTTTAGATTTCTTGCTTTTATAGTTGTTGTTTTTTTTCCAATTGCATGCTCAGTTCATTGAGCTGTACTTTTTCTTTTGGTCATGAAAATAATCAGTGGGTTCAAGTATATGGGTACCAAGTATATGGGTATATATTGCCGTACCTTTAAACTATACCAACTGGGGACAACCAGATGCCTGGGAAAATGCTACTGCTGGGAAGAGGGGGGTCCACCCAGCCTGGGAAGGACGGAGTCAGGGGGTGACGTTTGCATGCCCAATCGAAAGGCTTCAGGAATGGAATCCTCTCTACCCGCGCCTTGCCCTCCTTCCCCGACATTTCACCCTGGAAGTTCAGAATTCCTGTATACTCTTTTCCCTAAGAAAACAGAGCTGGAAATGACTATGGAGAGTCAGGTTGGAAAAAGCCTATACTCACTCAGAGAGGTTCCTCTTCTCAGAGAAGACGCGAAGGATGAATTCTCCCTCCTGGTGCGGATCGTAGGTAGAGGGGACGATGACATACTCGCTGGGGGGCAGGCGGAAGCGCTCGGACACTTCGCGCATGTTGATGTAGGTTTTACTACGGGCTTTGGAGGCGTTGTACAAGAAGAAATCTTTCTGGAGGTGCTGTTTGTTCCCATGCATCTGCAGAGGAGGAAGAAAGAACAAGGTGGAAGAGGCAGAACAGAATGACAGGAGCACGTGTTCCAATCAGAGGACCTGAGTTCAAATGCGATCACTAATACCCGTGAGACCTTGGGTAAATCACTTAACCCCTGAATCTTCAATTTTCTCATCTATAAAACAGAGAGGTTCTAGACTAGACTAGAATGGTCTCTGAGGTCCCTTCCAGTTCTAGATTGATCATCCCGAACCAAGAGAGCCCCACATGAATGGGAAAGACTGGAGAGGATGGAGAGGGTAAGGGGAGGGGAGAATTGTGAAGGATATCACTACTCTATCCTAAATGAGGCACCCAGGTGGCATAGAGTGGATAGAGCTCCGGACCTGGCTCCAAGTTCAAATATGACCTCATACACTTACTAGCTGGACCAATCACTTCACCTCTGTCTGCTTCAGTTTCTTCAACTGTAAAATGGGGATCATAATAGCATCTACCTCCCCGGGCTGGTGTGAGGATCAAATGAGATAGTCTTTGTAAGGTGCTTAGCACAGTGCCTGGCACATAGTAGGCACTTAATAATTCCCTTCCTCCACTCTCCCCACCCCCGCCCCCCAATCCCCCTTCATGGGAGGAAAGACATCCAGGGGAGGGATGAGGACTTTGACTAAGTATCCATAATGCTCCAGAGGACCAGAAAGAATGACATTTTGATAGTCGAACGTTCAAGAAGCTAGCCTGTATCTGGAGAAGTGTCAGGGAACACCAAGAGGAATACGGACTAAAGAGGGAATGAGGTGGACAAGGGCAAGTCTTGTCACTTCCCTGGCAACGAACCCCAGCAGAAGGCTTCTCAAGGCTCAACAGACAGATCTGTGCCCTCCCTGCACCCTCAATAACATGGCACTGGGCTGCTCCTGCCATCACGTCCATACCTCTTTTGGCACCTTTAAAAAAAGCAGAAAAAAAGAAATGTTTCAGTTCCATCATATCAGAACAACCTGGGAAAGAAACGCTGGTGAGCAGGAGTTGGTAATCAGGGAAAGAAAACAAATATCTACACCAATCAGCTAGCTCTAGTTTCCTTCCTGCCTTGGCCTTCACCATTCATTAAAAATCTTTTATATCAGGATTTCTTAACCTGGGGTCATAAAATAGTTTTCGGTTTTGTTTTCATATTTTCCTAACTATTTGATTACAACCGATCTCCTTGTAATTTCTGCATTTTATTTTATACATTTAAAGACCTTATTCTAAGAAGGAGTCCATATGACTGCCAAAGGGTCTTGTGACACAAAAAGTTAACAAGCCCTGTTCTAAATGAAACAGCTTAGGTATTTAGGGTTTGAATAGGCCCTTAGGGAGCAAGAAAACAGAGATCCCCCTGGAAACCAGGTTTAAACCAAGGATTAAGCCATTAAAAGTCCAATCTCTGGTAGGGACATGTGATTCCAGGCAGTGGTCCTTAGGAGGAAGATAATAATAAAGTTAAAAAGAGTGGGCAGGGCCAGTACCTCATAGATGGCGAAACCAATGGTGAAGAGATTGGCTCCCAGTTTCCGATCCTTCCTCCTATTCTTTTGCATCAGGGCCACCAGGAAGCTGCAGACAACTTCATTGTCTTCAGGGTCGTCATCTTCCTCCAGAAGCTTCAGGCGATACTGAGGATTGGTCCAAAAAGTGTCTGTCTCCCCCCACCCCCCACAAAGGAAACACTTGTTAAAGTCTATGATCTTGGAAAAGTCCAGGGAAGTGAAGCAGGCTTGACTGTCTTGGCAAGGGCGCTTACAGAGTTCCCTCCCTTTCTGAGAGATCCAAGTAGGGGAAGACCACCCTCGGAAGGCATTCCAGCATTTTTCCAGCTGAGAAGTAGCCTGTCCTTGCTTGAAGTTGGAACAGCCCTGGCTGCTAGTCTGCCTTAACTGTTTCCCAGTCAATATATCAAGTCATTTTCGTGCCTCATCAGTATATCCTAGCTGGGTTACAATGTGCTGTATTTTTTCATACCCCTTTGTGCAAACAGTCAATGTAAGAACAGAATTATACCAACCCATATAGCCACGGGACCTTGCCATGTACCTGAATGAGTCTGTGGAAGGAGACTTTGTTAATGAGGGTGTATGGTCCCGGTTGGGTGTAGCCTCTGTTTGGTTGACTGTGAAAGTCAAAGTCTAAGGGAGAGCAACTAAAAATGGTTTTATACCTATGGGTCAGTGATGGCCCACTGATAGTGGAAAGAGCCCTCAGCTTTGAAACTTGGGGCTGAGTACACTACAAACTCTTTGTATGACCTTATACAAATGATTTAACTTTGATGAACATCAGTTGCCTTGTTGTAAATAGGGATTCATCCCCACCCTAGAAGGTCAGTCAGTCCAGTGGCCTGAATCATGGGCACTGACACAGACTAATGTGGTCAGAGTATATTTCAGGTACCATATTTTTAGAAGGACATTGAAAAGCTGGAAAGCCAGGATGGTGAAGAGCAGAGGTTCCCAAACTTACCTACCACTCCCTTTTCAAAAAAAATTATTCAGTGCCCCCCCAAAATCTACTTTCTTTAATCCTTCAGTGTTTGTTTTTAAAATTTGCATAATTTCAAAAAAATATAAAATATATTTTTAAAAAATGACACACCTTAAATTTAATAATTTATTGTAAATTTGTAGAGTTTTTCCTGCATTGAAATTTTGATGATGCAATATTATCATATTGTAAACAAGTCATTACATGCACATATTCCTGCCACTGCATGCTGGACTTCCTGACAATGTGAGAACTGTTCACCTGCCAGCACTTGCTTGTTAAAACCTGTCAGCAGACTCGACCACTGATTTTGTGCATTTATTTGAAAAATAATGTAATCACTACAACTTCAACTGTTACACAACAGGTGAAACACGTACAAATGGTTTTTCAAATTTTTCTTCTCTTTTCTTCTTTCCTTACACTCCCTTATTTTTATTCAACGTCCCCCAATTACACCTGAGGCCACTACTGTCCCCCCTAGATCGTTCCAGCACCCACTAGGGTGCAGTATTGCCCACATTGGGAACCTATGAACCTCGGGTCACTAGGTAGTGCAGTAGATGGAACGCTGGGTCTGAAGTTAGCAAGACCTGAGTTCAAATGTGACTTCAGACACTTCCAGAACTAAGTCACTTGACCTCTGTTTGCCTCAGGGTTCCTCATCTGTAAAATGGGGAAATAATAGCACCTATCTCCGTGGATTGTTGTGAGGATCAAATGAGATAATACTTGTAAAACACTTAGCACAGTTCCTGGCACATAGTAGGCACTTAATAAATGATTGGTCCATTCCCTCTTCCCATTAAGATCGTAACAGATAAGTATTATTTGAAGGAACTGAAATTGTTTACCCTAAAGAGAAAATATGGGGTTGAGAGTTGAGGTTTACAAAGTACTTTACGTACATTCTCATTTTATCCTCACAACAATCTTGGTAGGTAGGTGCTGTTATTGTCCCCATTTTACAGATGAGGAAACTGAGGTAGACAGAGATTAAATGATTTGCACAGGGCCATATAGCTTGTAAGTGACTGAGGCTGTCACATGGAAAAAGGATTCCATTCATCCTGTAGAGGCAGCTGGATGACACAGTAGGTAGAGAACTGGACTTGGAGTCAGGAACACTGCAGTCTGAATCCTGTCTAAAATGTCTGGTAACTATGTAAAAGTTCCTAAACCTCTGTTCTGCCTCAGTTTACTCATCTGTGAAATGGAGACAACAGGGTTTTGTGAGGATCAAATGAGATGGATGTAAAGTTCCTTGTAAACCTTCAAGTACTATATAAATGCTATTATTACTATTGTTGATGTTGTTATTGGCCCAAGAGGGAAGAACTTAGAGCAAGATGTGGAAATTGAGGAGGGGAGGAGGAGGAAGGTTTAGACAACTTGACAATAAGCACTATCCACCTTTTGGAGTAGCAAAGACATGGAAACAAAGTAGATGTCCACTGATTGGGGAATGGCTCAGCACATTGTGGTACATGAATGCTGCAAGAAACAACGACAATGAAGAATACTGAGAAGTAGAGGAAGACTTCTATGAACTGATGCAACGGGAGGTGACTGGAACCAGGAAAACAATGTACACGGCTGACACTATAAATGGCAAGAATAACAAGAAGAGAAACTGAATATTCTAATGTTGTCTCCTACTGACACCACATTTTGCCTGCAGTCCCTAGAGTTTGTGCACTTTCCCCCTAACCTTGGAAAATTTCCTAGAAAGTCAATCAGTGGTCCTGTGGGGACCAATTGTATTTAAGGTTTTCAAAGTGCTTTCCATACATTACCTTTTCTGATCCTCACAATAACCCCACGAAGCCTGTGTTATTATTATCCCCTTTTCAAAGCTAAGGAAACTGAGGCTCACAAAGATTAAGTGATTTGCCCATCAATGTTCATGTACCAATTGTTGCAAAGTAGGATTTGGACCCAGGCCTCACCAAGGGGCAGCTGGGTGGTTCAGTGGATAGAGCCCCAAGCCTAGAGTTGGGAGGACCTGAGTTCAAATCCAGTCTCAGACACTTACTAGCTGTGTAACCATAGGCAAGTTACTTAACACTATTTGCCTCAGTTTCCTCATCTGTAAAATGAGCTGGAGAAGGAAATGGCAAATCCCTCCAGTACCTTTGCCAAGAAAACCCAAATGGGGTCATGAAGAGTCAGACATGACTAATTGACTAAACAACAAGTCACCTGACTTCCAAGTACAGGAATCTTTCTGCTACAACTTGGTCTCTCAATCCATCTTGTCTTGATGGGGAGATAGAGTTCAACAGTAGTTGTTTTTCAGTCCTGTCAAACTCTTCATGACCTCATTTGAGTTTTCTTGACAAAGATACTGGAGCAGTTTGCCATTTCCTTCTCCAGATCATTTGACAGATGAGGAAACTGAGGCAAATAGGGTTAAGTGACTTGCCCAGGGTCACATAGCTAGTAAGTATCTGAGGCCAAATTTGAATTCAGGAAGAGGAGTCTTCTTGACTCCAGAGCCAACACTCTATCCACTTTGCCACCTGGTTGCTCATTGAGCAGGGTAGTGGTACGATAATATCTATCTCAGTGTGGAGCAGGGTTTGGAGGGGGACAGGAGGGAAGAAAGAAGTTCAATGTGGAGCTATCCCTTCATGTTACAGATGAGAAAACTGAAGGCCAGGGCAGCTAATTGACTGATCCAAGATCACATAGGTAGTAAATACCAGAGGCAGGATTTAAATCCAGGTCCTGTGACTTGAGAGCTAGGGTGCTTTTACTTTTCTTTTTCTTTTTCTGGCAGTTGGGGTTAAGTAATTGGCCCAGCATCACACAGCTATTAAGTGTCTGAGGCTAGATTTGAACTCAGGTCTTCTTAACTCCAGGTCTGGTTGCTTTATCCACTGCACCACCTAGCTGCCCACTCACTTTCCTTTGCATCAGTTCATATAAGTCTTCCTATATTTCCCAGTATTCTTCATCATCATTGTTTCTTGCAGCATTCATGTACCACAATGTACCATGCTGCTAACTATTTCTATCAGTAACTAGGACCTCTGTGCTCCTAAACCCCCAGAGGAGCTAAGAGTCAGACCCACATGAGAAGTTAACTCTCCTCCTTTCTCACCTGGAAAGTTGCGACAGCCTCCAGCAGAGCATCCTCTCACCCAGCGGCCCTCGTTCACAGACACAGTCCAGGTCTGGAGCTTGTCAGATTCCAAGGCATCAGCTGTGAGGTTGCAGATCTCCAGCTTTGTGAAATGATACATGAAATCTTCATAGGACATCCTTAGGGGGTGAGAGTAGAGAAAGGAAGGTTATAAGGGGAGGTAAGGAAGGAGAGGCTGATGGAAGGGCAAAGCTCTAGAGTAAGTGCACCTTTTTAAAAAATAGTATTTTATTTTTTCCAATTACATGCAAAGACAATTTTTAACATTAATTTTTTAAAATAAAATTTTAAGGTCCAAATTTTCTCCCTCCCTTCCTTCCCTCCTCCTTAAGACAGTAAGCAATTTGATATTGGTTATATATGTGCAATCATGTAAAACATATTTCCATATTAGTCATGTTGTGAAGGAAGAAACAACAAAAGAAAAAAAACTAGGAAAAAAATAAAGTGAATATCATGTGTTTCAATCTGCATTTAGGCTGCATAGCTCTTTCTCTGGATGTGGACAGCATTTTCCATCATGAGTCTTTTGGACTTGTCTTGGATCATTGTATTGCGGAGAAGAGCTAAGTCTATCATAGTTGATCATTGCACAATGGTTGCTGTTACTGTGTACAATGTTTTCCTGGTTCTGTTCACTTGATTGAGTGTATCTTTAGCAGGAAAAGACAAATTAATCATGAGCTGGAAGTCTTGCCCAGGAGAATACCACCAGTGCTGGAGTGAGTAATATTCACCCCACATCATCATCTGAATGCATTCTTTCTCTCCAACATCATTGCATACAAACACACCCTCTGTATCTAAGAGAGCAGTAATGGACTTGAAGAGGTCATCCCAGCTCTGTCTACAACCCAGGGAGTACAGAAATTGGTGGAGCTATCACTGGTGTTCTGAAAACAACATGGGACTCAATGATTAGTCAGTCCTATACCTTGGCTTTGAGGAAAATACAGTGCAGGGGCCCAGACCAGCTGGTAGCCAAAAGTTATGGAGAAACTGAAGTTCCTGCCGCCAGTGATTTCTGAATGGGGCTTGAGACCTGAGGCTCTTTTTCTGGGTTCTGTCTTAGGGCTCTGGGCCCAAGACCAAGATGGCAATGGCCTTGTGGGTCCTAGACTTACCAGAATTCTCCGTCCTCGGTCACCTGGTGCTGCAAGCGAGATTTCTCCGCCTTGTCAATCAGGACCCAGTCCTTCCAGCTGGAGAACAACATTTGGTATCACATAATAAGGAAGACAACCTCAGAAATAGTACCACTGCATCCCAGCAAATTCAACCAGCCTAGAGCCAACTAGGGTCCAGAAGTGGCCAAGCTGCCCCAAGTCCCTCCCACCATGGAATCTCAAAGGTGGACGGCACCTACTCCAATGCATTCTTGAACAAGAATCCTTGCTGCTACAATTTCAAGTGGTCCACCACATGGAGCAGGTGGGTGGGACCTGGGGTCAGGAAGACCTGAGTTCAAATTCAGCCTCAGGCTTTTACTAGCTGTGTGACCCTGAGTAAGGCACTTCACCATTGTCTGTCTCAGTTTTCTCACCTGTAAAATAGGGGTAATAATAGCACCTCCCTCCCAGGGTTCTTGTGAGGATCCAATGTAATTATATATGTAAAGTGTTTAGCACAGTGCTGGCACATGGTAGGTGTTTAATAAATATTTATTGATTAACTGAAAAAGACTTTCATTTTAGTAGTCCCAGCACCTAGCACAGTGCCTGGCACATACTAAGTGCTTTAAAAATATTTGCTGACTGACTGAAAGTTATTGTAGCCCCCACACTTAGCACAGTGCTTGGCACATAGCAAGCACTTAATAAATGCTTGTTCATTGTTCCCCCACTCCCACCCTGCTGCCCCTGGAGTCTCCCTTCTGGGAGTCTCTGCCCACCTACCCATCACTCCAGGAGCCATTCCATTCCACCTGACCCCAGGGATTCCTCAGCCGCACCAACTTCACCTTCTCTCCTTTGAATGTCGTCTTGGGCAAAAAACAAGCAGTCAATGAACAGTCGTATATGAAATGCCCAAGACGTGCCAGGCACTAGGCAAGAACCCAGCTCATCTGTCTGGAAAGAAGTTTGCCCTTCTGCCCCTCCCCAAAGTCTGGATGGTACTTGCCTAAGGTGCCCTGGGCAAAAACTTAACATTGATGTGATTGAGTTACAAACCTTTGAGGTAACACAGTGGAAAAAAGACAGCATCTGGAATAAAGAGATCTGGTTTGGGCCCCGCTCTTCTACTTGTTAATTATGAAGCCTCAGACAAGTCCCTTAAACTCTCTAAACCTGTTACCTCATCTATAAGAGAGGGTGTGATAATACTTGTACACGGAATAGTCATAGGGACCAAACAGGAAAGTGTGTATAAACATGTGATATCATTATTACTTTCCTTGAGAGTGTTAGGGTTTGGAGAGAGGCTGACAGAGCAGTGGAGCTTTGGGAGGGTGGGAAGGAAGGTCACCATTTCTCAGTCCTCTACAAAGTAATCTTCCCCTACAATTTCTTTTCTCTAAATAAATTTTTATTGGTAGCTTTTCTTTCATCTTGCCTAATTTTCCCACTTTATCTCTCCCCATCCTAGAGAGCCATCCTTTGTAACAAAGATATAAAGAAAAAAATAAAGAAAAAGAAGAAGAGGGAAAAAATCAGTAAAAGCAATTCATATATTGAAGGGAATCTGACAATATAGGCAATGTTCCACACCTATGGATCCCACACCTCTGCAGAGGAGTAGAGAGTGGTATCTTAGAAAATAATTCTCTAAGACTTTTTTCCCAAAGAGAATAAAGAGGAAAAGGACACATATGTACACATGTGCGCTTCTTGCAGTGGCAAAGAGCTAGAGGCTAAGGTGGTGCCCATCAACTGGGAAATGATTCAACAAATTATAGCATATGAATGTAATGCAATATTATTATATTGTAAGAAATGATTAAATGGATAGTTTCTGAGAAACCTGCTGAGATTTTATGAACAGATGCAGAGTAAAGTGAATAGAACCAGGAGAAAAATTTATACAAAACAAGAATAATAACACTATAAAGACAAATTACTTTGATAGGTTTAAGAACTCTGATCAGTAAGGGGCAGTGAGGTGGCACAGTGGATAGAGCACCAGCCCTGGAGTCAGGAAGACCTGAGTTCAAATCTAGCCTCAGACACTTAACTAGCTGTGTGACCCTGGGCAACTCATTTAATCCCCATTGCCTCCAAAAAACAAGCGAACAAATAACAACAACAAAAAACTCTGATCAGCATAAAGGACCAAGCATGTCTCCAAAGGACTGATGCTGAATTATGCTACCCACTTCTTGACAAAAAAGTGACGGATTCAAGATGCAGAACGCCACATTCACATGCTGAATTTTAGTGCTGTAGGAATTTGTTTTGCTCCACGAGGTATATTTGTTATGAGTTTTTTTCCCCCCTTTTTCTTTTCAGTTGGGGGAGGGACAGAGAGAGACAATAAATACTTGTTAATTAAAAAATAAAATAAAATTCAGTAAAACATTTGTAAGTGAACTTTCTAGGCTGGATTCCCCTTCCACCAGGTAGTTGTCTTACCATGCCTCTGCTTCCCAGGGGACCTCATTGTCATGCCAACCGAGCACCCTCTGCAGATGTCTAGGCACAGGCAGATCTGGTCCTGACTTTTCATCTCACATCTTGGTTAGGAGGGTGACTCAAGCTATCTTCCCAACCCCAGTTATTTTTTCAGTACTGACTGTAGCTCAGCCTGGCCGGTAGCTAACAGGAACAGTAGAATGGTAGACTTGGAGTCAGTAAGACCTGAGTTCAAATCCTATCTCAGATACTTAATAGTTATATGATGCTAGGCACATCCCTTTCTTTTTTTTTTTAGGTTTATTAATTTATTTTTGGTTTTCAATAATCACTTCCATAAGCTTTTGAGTTTTAAATTTTTGTCCCCCTCCCTTCCCACCTCCCTCCCCAAAACATCATGCAATCTGACATAGGCTCTACATATACATTCCTATTAAACATATTTTCACATTAGTCATGTTGTAAGGAAGAATTAGAACCAATAGGAGGAACCACCAGAAAGAGGAAACAAAACAAAACAGAAGAAAAAAAGGGCAAATAGTTTGCTTTGATCTGCATTCAAACTCCATAGTTCTTTCTTTGGACATGGATAGCATTTTCCATCATAAGACCTTTGGAGATGTCTTAGATCCTTGCATTGCTGAGAAGAGCTAAGTCTATCAAAGTTAGTCATCATGCAATGTGGCTATTACTGTGTACAACATTCTCCTGGTTCTGCTCACTTCACTCAGCATCAGACCATACAAGTCTTTCCAGGTTTTTCTGAAGTCAGCCTGCTCATCATTTCTTATAGCACAATAGTATTCTATTACATTCATATACCACAATTTATTCAGCCATTCCCCAATTGATGGGCATCCCCTCAATTTCCAATTCTTTGCCACCACAGAAAGAACTGCTATCAATATATTTGTACATGTGGGTCCTTTTGGCAAGTCCTTTTTCAAGCTCAATTTCCTCATCTGTAACCTGGGGATAATAATATCATCTGCCTCATAGGATTGTTGGAAAGATCAGATGAAATAGCACGTAAAATGCTTTTGCAAATCTTATCGTACTATATGTTTGTTGTTGTTATTATTATTATTATTATTATTATATGCTTACCTCCTCTAGTCCAGTGACTGAATATGCATGACCTTTGACCAGCCCACAGGCCATTCGTGTCTCATACTGCACTGGAACAATTGTCTGTGGAGCCCAAACCAGACAGGCTGTCAATGACAAGACCAGGAATTGTCCAGGAAGTTCTCACATCCTTTCTCACCTGGCAGCCTCCCTCCCAACAGGGAACCACAAGCCCACCAAGAGAACCCGAGGTCTGGAATCTTGAAACTCTTGCTGAGGGGACCTCCTGGGCATCCAGGCACTATTATCTATCCCTTTATCTATCCCAATTCTTCCCGAGCCTCTAACCTGAGACTTTTCTTTCCTGCCTACACAGGGACAGGGGATAAGGAAAGGGACTGGACTTGGGATTTCACTGGGATAGGGATATCTCAGAGGTAGAAACTCCCTCTGCCAATGAAGGCTGATACCGTTCTCTGCTAATTACATTTTCATTGCCTAAAGCACTGAGAGGTTGTGACTTGCCCAAGGTCATACAACCAGGATATGTCAGAAGTGGGGCTTGAACCCAAGTCTTTCTGACTTCGAAACCAGTTCTCTATTACATATCATACCATTTCCCTGATCTGTCTAAATAGTTCCTCTTTTCTAAAAAGGGAAAATTAAGTAAAGACTTAAATTAAACTTCTTATTGAGAGTTCTGGCACAGGACACATGGACCCTTGTAACTAGTTGGTGTGGCAAATAGAATTCTGGCTTTGAAATCAGGAAGACCTGAGTTCAAATCCTGCTCAGACACTTAGCTGTGTGACCCCCAGCAACTCACAACTTCTCTTTGTCTCAGTTTCTATTCTGTAAAATGGAGATAATGATAGCACCTACCTCTCAGACCTGTGGTGAGGATGAAAGGAGATAAGGGGATAAGCATTTATTAAGTGCCTACTATGTGCCACATTTACAAATATCTCATTTATCTCAAATATCTCAACCATATGAGATAGATGGAATTATTATCCACATTTTACAGTTGAAGAAACTGAGGTAGGAAGAGATTAAATGACTTTGTCCGGGGTTACACAGTTAGCGAGTGTCTTAGATTGAATTTAAACGCATGTCTTTCTTGCTATAATTATAATTATTGCTACAACTATTACAATTATGGATCCACCAAACCAAATGGTGTCTCCAAATCCAACAGGCAAATGAAAGCAACTGTTAAATAATATAGGACCTTCTCTAATATTACATGTATGAGACATATATGAATATGTATACACATGCACACATATGTTTATGCCACAAACAAATATGTGCAACACCTATTTGCACATACATATATGTATATACACGTATACATGTATACATATACATATACATATACATATACATATACATATACATATACATATACATATACATATACATGTATATTTATACACACATATAGGCAGCTAGATGGCACAGTGGAAGAGCACCAGGGGCCTGGAGTCAGGAAGACCTGAGTTCAAGTCTAGCCTCAGTAGCTGTGTGACCCTAGGCAAGCAATTTAACCCTGTTTACTTCAGTTTCCTCATATGGAAAATGAGCTGGAGAAGGAAATGGCAAACTATTACATTATCTTTGCTAAGAAAACTGGAAATAGGGACACACAAACATAATTTGCCTTGGTCCTTGTTTGAAGATGGGGATGTGTCACCAAAGTGTTAAGAAACAGGCTTGGGTTCAGGACTTACACGGAGATGAGAGTAGTGCCTTAAAAGCCCACTGCAGACTCAGCTATGCCAGGTAATGACTAGGTGGTCTGAGTGGGGAACAGCAGCTTTTGTTATGTGGGGACAAAGTTAATTTGGGCTCATTTTCAAGGTCTGGAGAGGAGAAAAACGAAGGATCCCTCCACCTGTCCCTAAATCTTTTGCTCATGTGTATAGTCCTGGGCGTATACCTGCCCCTTAAAGCAACTTCAGTAAGTGCTTTTAGGATGTCAGAAAGATTTAGCCCCTGCCCTTGCCAGAAAGCAGCTCCAAGGCTGAAGGGTGAGAGCCTTGAAAAATGCCTGGATGCTGATGTTCTGTTCAAATCAATAAGGGAATTTGTAAAGTGTGTGTGTGTGTGTGTGTGTGTGTGTGTGTGTGTGTGTGTGTGTGTGTGTGTGTGATGGCAGGAGTCTAGAGGTCTGTTTAGCAACAGTCTCAGCCAGATCTTTTATGGGAATTCAAAAAATGTGATGCTCCTTAAACCCCTAAGCTCACCTTGGACACCCTAGAATCCATAGGACAAACTAGGAGTAAAAGACAGAAGTTGAAGGATACTTGGTGAAAGCAGTGTGGCGTTAGGGTTAGAGAGCTGGCCTAGCAGTTAGAAAGTCTTGGGTTTATGGAACCCTCGGCCAGTTACTGAACTTCCCAGGCCCTCAAGCCATGCTCTAAGGCTAAGGCACACAGGAGATGCTGAACTGCTTTGGCAGAGAGGATTTCCTCACTGGGAATTCCCTACACCAATGAGATCACAGGTTTATTTATTTTATTTAGGATGGAATGGGCTGCCTCGAGAAAGGGGGTTCTTCTTCACTAACAATCTTCAAGCACAGTCAGTCAATAAGCATTCATTAAATGCCTACTAGGTGCTAAGCAAAGGAGGAAAACTTGCTTGTCTGGGCCGTGGTAGTGGGTATTATTGTTCATGTATGGGCTGGACTACATGGTGTCAGAGGTCCTGAACCCCTCTGAGACTTTGTGATTGTAACTGTCCATTAGAAGGGAAGAATGATAGTGGTCCTGGGGCTTGGTTCCTCCTTCCCCAGTCCAGGGCAGCTCATTCAGGTTTACCATTGCTGGGCAATTATAAAAGGAACAGCCTAAGCCTGCTTTCTTTCCTCTGCGCCTTTCCCCTTCCCCCATCCTGACTTTGTCACCATTCCAACCCCATTAGCTCTCTCAGATCCAGGAAATGTTGTAAGAATCCCCAGAGACTTTCCAAAGGAGGGGATGATTTCATGCACAGTCATGCCTGATGCTTCTGGGACAGCTACTCCCATTTGCTACATTTGTTACATAAAGGAGAATTGACAGGAGCATGAAATAGTCAGCGAAGAGGCAACACAGAAACCCAGGTAGTCACTGATGCTCTCTCTTAGCATCCAATATCCCATCCTTCTTAGGCACCTGATAACACGGCTACTTCAGTATGATGGGAAAATGCCTGGCTCTAAAGTCAGAGAACTTTGTTTAAATTCTTACTATCTGTGTGATCTAGGGAAAATCACTTTACTTCTCTGAGCCTCAGTTTCCTCATCTGTAAAATGAGGGGTTTGGATTAGATGACCTCCGAGGTGCCTTTCAGCCCTAGATCTATGATCCTTTGGTCCCAAGGCTCTCTCCTAGGACTAGACTCTGGCCCTTTTAGCAAAGCCAGCAGAAGAAATATGGATCAGCACAGGATTTCTGGAACATGAGCCCTCCCCCGATTTAGACTTTTCATGGCTCCTGTCCCCACAGGCCACAGACAAATACTAAGTCCTGGATCCCTGTGAAGGAGGGATAAGATGAGAGGTTCTCTCCTTTTTCATTTTAGAATTCATGGGATGAGGAAGGAGGCGCATCTAGGAGAGGTCAAAGCAAACGAAATTTAGTTGTCCAGAATTGGAAGGAAGTTTTACCAGTAAGCCCTGAGCAGAGCCTGGGAGTTAGGCACTATTTATAGTCAGAACAGCAATCTGAATTCTCCTGATTCTAACTTCCCTGGGTCTCAGTTTCCACATCTGTAAAGTGAGAGGGTTAGACCAGGTTACCTCTGAGGTCTCTTCCAGCTCTAAATCTATAATCCATCACATTCCCACTGTGAGGGAGAAAGATTAAAATATCTCTTTTGTAATTCTGCCTATTTTATCAATAATGTGAAAACTTTCCAGGCCTCTCTATCTGAAAGGATCACCAAAGAAAAACTCTTCTGGTGGGAGGAACAACACACTGCCTTTCTTCAGAGCCTCGGAATATCATAGAATCATGAAGATTCCAGAAGGGATAGAAATAATGGTGATAATAATATAATATATTCAAATATTTGAAAATATCTTAATATATAAAATATATAATATAATATAAAAATACGTCAAAAATATCTTCGCTATAAACTTGTAAAATAAGGAATTCCTATCCCAATTTATAAGGGAACAGTCTCAGAGGGGCTGAGTGATTTGCCAGAAGAATTACTCAGCCCTTGAACTCTGGCATTCTTTCCATTCTGTCATGCTTCCTATCCATCTAATCCCATTCCTCTTCTAGTCTCATCTCTTTATTATAGAAAGGGGGAACCCAAGGCCCCAAAACAGCAAGTAACTCACCCCAAGGCCACACAGTTTAGTAAGTATCAGTGTAAGATTTGAACCCGGGTCCCCCTGTCTCCAATGTAGCACTTTCCATTATGTCCTCATGTCTTTCCATCTAAGCCCACCCTTTTACTGAAGAAAAGAAGAATCTTATGCTTACCACTACTTTGAAATGACTGACTCTATTAGACCAGTTATATTAGTATATTACAAATTTTTGTATTTCAATATAATTGCTTTTCTCAGTAATCCTATGTGTTTTATTTTATACATATAAAAATGTGACCGAAAAAGAAGCCACAGGCTTCACCAAATTGCCAATAAGGTCCATGACAGCCTTGATCTAGACAGAGTAGTATTCTGCCTTTTCACTGACCGTCCTACTTTCTCTCTATTTGCCCTATCCCTGAGCACCGGTAGGTAGTTGAGAAGTAGAAAGATCTATAACTTGATATAGATAATAATGTGAAGCAATACAATGAAGTCCCAAACGAGTGACCCGGAAGCTTTTCCCTGCCTCAGACCCAAAGACAGGAAATGATCTGCCCAAAGCCACACAAATAGTTTGTTAGTTATAGGCAGTTGGAATTAGAACCAGGTATCCTGACTCCCCGACTGAGACATTCCCAGTTAAGTCTGTTTCAAAGCCTTAAGGCAGTTGTCTGCACGTTTAGCACCACACAAAGGAAAGGCAGGGAGCTGGGTACCAAGAGTGATCATGTAGACATAAGAATCTGTCAGTACTGTCAAGGGGGAAGGGATTACTCATCGTCTCAGGCATACAAACCCGGGTTGGCCTGTCATCTGTGCCTCTTGGATCTAGGTCTGAATCCCTCAGTTGGGAGTTATCCAAATTCTTCACCATCCTAGCAATCAGCTCCCCCATGCTACAACCAGGAGAAGTCCCATAGGTCATGTTTGTACCATCCTGAGGACAGGGAAAGGAGAGGGATAGGACAGTGAAAGGAGATTGGGGGGAGAAGAGGGAGAGGAAAAGAAAGAGGGCAGAAAGGAAACAAGAAATTCATTAAGGACAGAGGCATACTCAGCCAAGGAAAAAGAGGAAAATATAAGCTCTGAAAAAGAAAAAGATGGAAATAAAGCAATAAAAGAAGAAAATGTAGAGAGAAAAATCCTGTTTTTCCTTGGTGTGGGATGGGGTATCTTGTATTTGTTGGTCTCACCAAACTCAGGATGCTAGATTTGAATTGTACCCATTTAGTGGATTCTAGAGAAAAGGGGAAGATGCTTGGCTCAGAGAAAGATGGTGACTATGAAGTGTAACAGGACAGACATGTTTAGGAGCTGTGGAAGCAACTGGAATTCAACGCTATTCCTTTGTTCCAAAGGGAAGGGGAGGTGAAACCAATAAGCCTTGAGCATACCATACGTAGAAAGGTGTCACTGCCTTTCCTCTACACCAGGTGTTCTTAACTTGGGGTCCTAAAGTCCAAGGACTTTGATTTTCAGGGGAGGTCTAGGAACTTGAATGGAAAAATATTATTTTCACTAACCTCTAACTGAAATTTGACATTCCCTTCAATTGAATATAGGCAATATACTATGGTAGTGTGACTTTGTCACCAATAAAAATCACAGATATTTGCATATCACATTATAGTTATTGCAGATATCTCTAAATATCATTTATGCTCATCATTACTTTGAAATTATTGATGTTATTAGACCTACTATTAGATATAATAACATCACAGGTTTTTTTCTATTTTGTTAACTATTTCAATATAATTGGCTTTCTTTGTAATCCTATATATTCATTTAAAAACATTATTTTGAGAGGAAGACCATAAGCTTCACCAAACTGCCAAAGGGTCCACACGAAAAAAGATTGAGGACCCTGGCTTTAGACAGAGTGGTATTCTGTCTTTTCACTGACCCCCCCCTACTTTCTCTCTATTTGCCCCACCCCTGAGCACTGGTAGGTAATTGAGAAATAGATTGGTCTACAGCAGGAGTGGGGAACCATGCGGCCTCGAGGCTTAAAGGGCCACACTTGAGGACCTAGAGGGCCACATGTGGCCTCAAGGCCTCAGGTTCCCCACCCCCAGCTACAAGTAATAGTATGAGGCACCACAATAAAGTCCCAAACTTAATGACCTGGAAGCTTTTTCCGCCCCAGGAGATACAGGCCTATATGGAAATGAGAACATGAGAGCTTCTCATTAAGAGGTCAACTTTATCTCCACTGCAAGTAAGCATTGTGGAAAACTGTCATGAAAGACTCAGACCTAGAGAATTCTTAGGTGTCTGGGCTGCAGCCTGCCCAAACTCAAGGTTAGGAGTGGACCTACCCAGATTCTAACCTACAAACAGGATGACCCTGTCATAAGGAACCCTCTGGCTCTCCAAAGGATAGGGATAGTTCTTGCTTAAGTGGTTTCTGAATTGATAATGCTATCACTAAGGAAGGCATCATGTGGCTATCCATTTACTAATGGACTCGGATGACACTTTGCCCACTTGGACACCCTGGACTCACATCAATGGAGCAGCCCATGAGGGAACCCCTCTCAATAGCTTTCTTCATGATCTTGTACATGTCTCTGGGAGCGTCCTTGATCTCAAAGAATTCTGTCACTCCTCCAGTGAAGTCCTCCATAGCTTCTGTGGTGTTGCCACCTTTCAGGGCTTCATAAGAGCCATGGAGCCTTGGGGAAAATGAAAATTTCAAATCACAGAGTTCTAGGGCAATGTGCCCCACATGGTTCACCTGAGGTAACCAGCTCTTGATTCATAAGCTGGAACCAGGTGGACCTCTGGCTTCTGAGCTCCAGAGATAGTTATCATTGGTCCATGCCTGGATTACTGTAGAACTGGAATGAAGTTGCAATGGGAATCCACAGGGTAGATAGGTAAAGTCTTTATTTCTATTAGAGAATTGTTAAAACTTAGAGCTGCTTGTAGCCTAGATTAGCTTTACTTTTTATTATTTTTATTGACTTTAGTGTTCTTTAAATTTTTATTGATAGCTTTTGTTTTTAAAACACCTTCATTTCTAACTATATTCTTCTACCCTCCCTATCCCAGAGAGTTGTAAAAAATAAAACGAAAGAAATATTTTAAGGAAAAAAAAAACAGTTCAGCAAAACAAAATACCAACCACATATTATCACGTATGCAGTGTTTCAAATCCATAGTCCCCCACCTCTGCACAGATGGAGGGTATATGTATATTTTTTTCCTTCTTTCTTTGAGACTTGACTTCACTTATGAGATGGCCCTCTCTGAGTCAGTTTCATATTTGCAGTGTCTCTCCCTCTCTCTCTCTCCCTCTGTCCCTTCCTTCCCTCTCCTTCTCTCCCTCTCTTCCTCTTCCTCCCTCCTTCTCTCTCTCCCTCCCTCTCCTTACCTTCTTCTCTCTTCTTCCCTTCTCTCTCTTTTTTTCTCTCCTCCCCTCCTCCCCATACACACACACACACACACACACACACACCTGTGTCATGGGGCCTGAGACAGTTTCTACAACCTATCTCTTCTCTCCAGTACTGGGAATACAACAGCATCATCTTACTTTGCATAGGCCTTCTCCAAGAGAGCACTCCAAAACTCATTGCGATGGTTGGATTTGGTGAAGACCAGCTGGTTGTTATAGGTTGGGAGGCAGTCATCAATAACCACATCCACCCAGTCTCCATAACGCCAGAACTGAAAGGAAACGGTAATCAATCAATAATCAATCCATAAGCATTTATTAAGTGCCTACTATGTGCCAGGCACTATGCTAAGTGCTAGGGATACAGAAAGAGATAAAAGACAGTCCCTGACTTTGAGGAGCAAGGGGAGGCAACATGCTGACAAATATATACGAAGCAAGCTATTCATAAGATAAACGGGAAATAATTAAAAGAGGGAAGGCACTAGAAAGAGGGGTTAGGGAAGGTTTCCTCTAGAATGTAGGGTTTTAGCTGGGACTTAAAGGAAGCCAGGGAGGTTAGTAGTCAGAGACAGGGGGAGAGAATGTTCCAGGCAGGAGAGAAAGTCAGAGACATTTGCATCAGTCTTGATGAGCAAGGCCTCTAGTCCAGCAATCCTATTTCTGAGCATGATTACTTAGCAGACTCAGATATATTGGTTTTTCCTTATCCTAAGTTTTACATGAGGCAGCTAGGTGGATAGAGCGCTGGGTCTGGAGTCAGGTAGACCTGAGTTCAAATCTGGCCTCAGACACTTACTAACTGTATGACCCTGGGCAAGTCACTTCACCCTGCTTGCCTCAGTTTCCTCAACTGTAAAATGAGCTAGAGAAGGAAATGGCAAACCATTTCAGTATCCTTGCCAAGAAAACCCCATTGACAGTACTGGTGTGTTGTGGTCCACAGGGTCACAAAGAGTCGGACATGACTGAACAAAGCTGCCAGTCTGAGATACTGTTAACCCTAGCATTTTACATCATGAAACATACTATCCAGAATGCTTTAATATGTCGTCTGCAGTTCATTCATTCATTTAACAAAAATACTTACTATACACCAGTTATATGCAAAGAACAATGCTAGACATGTTGGAGATACAGAGAAGCATAGGATATAATCTTCACCCTGAAGAAGACTGTAATCTAGTTGGAGGCAAGCAGTGTATATTAAGTGACATATGATTGATACAGACAACACATACTAATGGAGTCAGAGAAAGGACAAATCCAGGAGTGTGCTAGAGTCAGTTTGAACTGATTCTTGATTATTCAACTTCCAATACAAGCATTTACATTTCAGAAATCAGAAAAATGTTGCAAACCAGGGCTTGATTTATCATTTTGTTGATTGTCTAAACTTCAGAAAGTGATGGAGAAAATGTTAATGATGCAGATTAAACTCAAAAGCATATTGTGTATATGCTTTTTCCCTGAGAGTTTCGATGGCTGAAGACGAAGCCTGCTATCCGCCTCCTGCCAGAGAGCTGATGGTTCCAAGATGCAGGATGACACAGTTTTGGATATGTATGACCAGTGTGGGAATTTGCTTTGCTTGATTATGCATATTTGTTACATGAGCTTTCTTTTTCTTCTCACATGAGTGTGGGAGTGGGAGGGAGAGAAAAATAAATGCTTGTTAATGGAAAATGACCAATTTTTTAAAAAGTAAGTGAATTTTATCTGTAAAATAAGGGGATCATCACACTAGATGGACTCTGAGGTTCTCCCAGCTCTAGACCATAATCCTCTACAGTCACCTGCCCTCAACAGTCTTGATTTATCTCACACATCTTGGTGAGATATGGACACTTCTCACAAACGTTAAAGAATTACTTTGCCTTGATTGGCCAACAGAGTGATTTATTTATTTATGCTTCATATTCATGCTTCATAAAGCACACTTTGCTTGGCAACAAAGGCCAGCAAAAGGCTTTCAAGTAAGTTGTGAACTCAGTATGCACCCAATTTTAACGAGAAGTACAAAGACAGCTGCAGGCCCTGCCCTGGGGACTGTTGTATCCATTTGGCTCCCACAGATTCATTCCCTGGAGGGTTAAACACAGTGCCAGGGGTTTTGGAAGATATTTGGGAAGGACTGCAAGTTTCAGCAGAGCCTCAGCAGCTGGAGAGGCTAAAATAGGCTGACCTGCCATTATACAGGATGTCTCTTTCCTGCTCCATCTGGAGCACAGGGTGAAGTTGAATTTTCCAACAATAAATAGAGCTATAGGCTGGGCAGAGATGGACACCTGTTCCCCTGCCTTCTTCCTCTCTCTACCTTCCCTCTCCCACCAATAGGCAGGGTTTCTCCATATCTATTTTCCTTCTTAGTCTCGTGGCAAAGGCAGGACAAAGAATGCCAGGGTACACTCTCTCCACTCCCCCTCCAATTTTAGACAGAAGACAGGTAGATGGATGGATAGATAAGTGATAGGTAGATAAATACATATTTGGTATGATAGGTAGCTAGGTATGCATCTATAGATAGGTATAGATAGGCAGGTAGGTGGGTAATGGATAGAAAGATAGATAGGTAGATGGATTAATAGATAGATAGATGGCTGGATATATAGATAGATAGGTATGTAGATATATGATCGGCAGATAGGTAGATAGATAGGTAGATAGGTGGATAAATGGATAGGTAGATAGACAAGTAGATGGATGGATGGATTGATAAGTCAATAGATAGACATCAGATAAGTAGATGGATGGATAGGTAGATTAATGAATAGATGGATATCCAGATAGGTGAGATAAGTAGATAAGTATGTAGGTAGGTAGATGATAGGCAGATAGATTAAATAGGTAGGTGGCATGGATAGAGAGATAGCTAGATAGGTATGTAGGTAGATAGATGGGTGGATAGCAGATGGGTAGATAATGCATGGAAGGATGGATGGATGAATGGATGGATGGATGAATGGACAGATAGGTGATAGGTAGATGGGTATGTAAGGTAGAGAAATAGTAGGCAGATAGAGTAGATGGATGAATGGATAGAGAGATAGATAGGATAGATAGTGAGAAAGAGAGAAAGAGATAGATAGAGAGAGATATTTTGAGAGAGAGAGGGAGGGAAAGCATAGTAAGCACTTACCATGTGTCAGGCTACTTAGCAGTACTGTGCCAAGTGTTGGGAATACAAATTCAAGCAAAAAAATACAGATGAGGACACTGAGGTCAAGAGAGGCTAATTGAATTGCCAGCGTCATGTTGGTGGTAAGCAGCCAAGCAAAGATGTGATCCTAGGTTCCCTAACCTCAAATCCAATGCTCTTTATGCCTCACCTTACCATCTTCCCTATTTATACCCTCCTTGGAAGCTTAGATCTTCACCTGAAAATGGAAAATCCCAGCATAGTTTTCAGTGAAAGTCTGATCATGGGGAATAACTCGGAAGAGTAGTCGCTCATTCAGGGTCAGACAGGCAATGGCAGCCAGGAACCAGCAGTCCCCTGTAGGAAAGGAAAAGCATAATGGGTAAGAATAATGATAGTTGACATTCATGTGTGGTTTTAAGGTTTGCAAAGTGCTTTACATATATTGTTTTGTTTGATCCTCAAGACAATCCTGTGAGATAGGTGCTATTAAAAGCACTTAGCACAGCCTGGCACACAATAAGCTCTATAGAAATGTTATCTATGATTATGATTATGATTATGATTATCCCCACGATGATGATAGCTAACATTTATATGGCACTTACTACATGACAGGCACCATGCTAGGTGCTTTATAATTATTATTATCTCATTTGATCCTCACGACCCTGACAGGTAAATGTTATTATTACCTCTATTTTATAGATGGGGAAACTGAGGCTTACTCCAGTGAAGTAACTTGCCCGGTCACACAGCTAGTAAGTGTTTGAAGCCTTAGTTTCTCTATTTGTAGAGTGTGACTATAAACTCTTGCATTACTAACCTCATAAAGTTTTGATAAGGAAAGTGCTTTGTAAAGTGCAAAACACTATGTAAATGTGAGTGACTATTAACAATGAGCATAATAATTATTACCATTATTGTTCTCATTCTTCTTGCTATCATAACTCTCATTCTTTTAATCATCTTTTCAAGGATTTCAGATAGAAACCTTCCTGGGACAATTTGCTATTCTCCTATCTATTCCCTTCTCTTGTCTTCTCTTCCTGAGATCAAATAATCTTAATTCTTTTAGCTTATCCTCATAAATTATTCTTCTATCACAATCCTCAAGTTATTTACATTGCTACACTCTGCACCCTCACCAATTTCACCAAATTTTGCTCTTTGGCAGTCTACTCCTTTCCCCTAACATCTTTTCATGAGCAAGAAGATAAGCACAGACAAGATTATAATAGAAAGAACAGTATAATTGGAAACAAAAGGCCTGATCCCAACTCTCAGCTACTCTATACTGGCCATCACTTCTCTGAACTGCTATTTTCTTAGTTGAAAAATGAGGATAAATATTATTTATACTACTTACCTCAGAGGTTTATTGAGACATAATGCATGTGGTATAGTGTTTTGTAAAATGTAAGGTGCAATATAAATGTAAGCTTATTAGTAACGTCTGTATTTTGTGTAAAGACATTGTTAAGAACCTATTATTAGTATTATTGTTATTTTTATCAAGGTCACGTTGAGGGTAAGTAGGACAACTGGGACTTAAATTCAAATCTTCTAACCACAAGTCCAGTGATTTTTCCATTACACTATCACTGGCAAAGAGAGACTTTTTTTTTTTGCAAGGCAGTTGGGGTTAAGTGACTCATCCAGGGTCACACAGCTAGTGAATATCATGTGTCTCAGACAGGATTTGAAATCAGGACCTCCTGACTCCAGGGCCGGTACTGTATGCATTGTGTCACCTACCTGCCCCAACAGAGTGGATTTTTAATGGGGCTTTTAGGTTGAAAGAAATGTTGCTCAATTATATCCTTTTGAAAAATATGTATTGAGTAGAAATAAATGAGCATTATAATGTACAAATAAATATATTGTCATATTATATTCATAGTTTTATATGTAGTTACATATCTAGTTATATTAGGTTATAATTTCATCACTGATTACAACTTGAATGTAATGCTGAAGAAAACTTGGAATCAAACTTCATCCAGGTTTAAGACATAGGAGGAACTACAGTTCAAATATTGAAGATACGGTGATTTACTGGTATGAAAGCACAAAAATCTACATCTTGATTAAAAGCTATTATTGTAAACTAATGTCTGATTCCACAACAGTATATGTATTTGAGCTATATTGAAAATAACAGGAATGGTTCATAATAGCCTAATAATCTTGCTAAGGAAGTAGGTTTCTTAGAAATATGTCACTTCTTTTATCAATTTATCAGGGAATTTGAAGAAATTCCAAATCCTTGATGCCACCATATTTAGGATGGTGAAGCAAGTAATCCTCAGCAGTTATGACAGTGTGAGAAAACCTAACCTTACAAAACGAGAAATTTGAGGATGGTGTTTCATCTTAGTTTATAGATTCAGCTGCAATATACTCTCCCTTCAAAGTCTGATGCTAAAGTAAGCCTGATCAGAGTTCCTAGAGAGTTATGGAAGCAGTGAAGAGTTTTGAGATTTTAAATGTGACAAACTGTTATATGCTGGAGAGATATAACTGTCATAAAATTTTTGGACAAATATAATTTATTGGATTATAGATAGAAAATGAAAATTTGATTACTCATCATTGCAGATGAGGTTTTGTTGCAGAGAGGAACCAGAGCTGAGCTCAAAAATATTAGAGGAGACACAGATATCAGAACTGCATCATCTAAATTTGAAGCTGGAAGTGATGGATAATACATTTGCTGTTGAGGAATAAGTCTAGCTGAGCAGAGGAACAGTTTGGAAACAGAATCAGAGAAGTACCTCATTGCATTGACTAGTTTGGCTGAGATGTCAGGAGTGGTGGCTGCCCTTTGCATCTATTATTACATGTAGGATCATAGATTTCAAGTTGGAAGGGTCCTTATGAATCATTTAATACAATCCCCTCATTTTACAGAAGAGGAGACTGAGGCCAAGAGAGATTAAGTGACATACTCAAGGTCATAAAGGTGATAAATATGACAAGTGTGTTTTGAAACCGTATTCTGACTTCAAATCTGGTGCTCTTTCCCCTGCACACCCTAAAAATGATTCTTCATTTGCAAAAACTACCCAATTGGGTAGTTCTAGAGCACTTAAAGTATAATTTAAAATATGATAAGAGAAACTTAATTTGTCCACCTCCTTTTTAGGAATGTGTCTGTAATGTAAAGTGAGTTATACCTTATAGGTAGCAATTGTGGCATAGTGAATAGAGTACTGGGCTTGAAGTCAGGAGACTTGGGTGTCCCACCTTAGGCATTTATTAGCCATCTGACAATGAACAGGTCCCTTAACCTTATTAAGCCTCAGTTTTCTCCTCTAGGAGATGGAAATAATTACAGCACCTACCCCAGTGTCGTGAGAATCAAATGGAATAATGTATATAAAGTGCTTTCTGAACCTTAAAGCACTATATAATTGTCAGGTTTTTTTCGTTATTACTAAGAGGCAACGTGGTGTACTGCATAGCCAGGCAATCCTGGGTTCAAGTCCTACCTGATACATGTTGGCTGAGTGACCCTGGGCCGATCACTTGACCTCTCAGTGCTTCAGGCACCTCTCTAAGCGCATAAGTTGTGGAGAAGATGCTGGTCTGCGTTGGCAGAAGGAGTTTCTTCATGCCAATGAAACCACAGATCTAGCCTCTGTCCCTACTCTGTCACTTTCCTGTATAGTACAGAACAACACACTCATAAACAGAAAACAGAAAGCAAGGAAATGAAAAATCTTCATCTGCAGGTGAATGAACATGAGAATCTCCGACATGAGAAGAATTTGCCTCGAAGATTGGATAAAATGGCATCAAAAGTCAATCATTCCGGGGCAGCGAGATAGTGCAATGGATAGAGCATCAGCTCTGGAGTCAGTAAGTCCTGAGTTCAAATCCAGCCTCAGCCACTTATTAGCTATGTGACCCTGGGCCAGGCACTTAACCCTGATTGCCTTCCCCCACCTCCCCCCAAAATGCAAAAAATGAAAAGAGAGAAAAGTCAGTCATTTCCTCCTGGCACTGCCTGGCCCTTCCTTGGCCTCAGCAGAAGGGAGCACTAGGGAATTTCCCACCTAAATCTCCTTGGCAGATGTCAGTTCTGTTGGCTCCACCAATGATAAACCTGGGATTCTCGCAGATTTCCTGTGAAGGGAAAAAAGACACAAATCAGTGAGAAGCAACTTGATGCCTCTTAACTTTGGGGGACGTGGCCTGGTAGCTACATCAATGTGTTTCCCTATTCCCTCTAAAATCAAATATAAACTCTTCATAACCAGGTTTCAACTTACCTTTCTGACCTCAATATACATTACTCCTCTTCACATATGCTTTGGTTCCATCATACTGGCCTTCTTTCTGCTTTTCACACATGTGACCTCAATCTCTCAGGCTTTACCCTTGCTATTCCCCATCTCTAGAACATAATCCCTCCTCACAGCTGCTTCTTAAAATCCTTAATTTTCTTCAGAACTCAACTCAAACATTCCTTCTACATGAAGCCTTTCTTTTCTTTTATCTTTTTAAAAAAATTTCCTCACTTAATAATAGTATTTTATTTTTTCCCAATTACATGTAAAGATAGTTTTCAACATTCACTTTTAGATGATTTTGAGTTCCAAATTTTTTTCTCCCTCCCTTCCTTCCCTCCCCCCACCCCAGAATGGCAAGCAATCTGATATAGGTTATACATGTACAATCATATTAAACATTTCCCCGTTAGTCATGTTGTGAAAAAAGAATCGGAACAAAAGGGAAAAACCATGAGAAAGAAAAAACATGAAAAGTAAAAACTGTATGTTTCAATCTGCATTCAGACTCCATAGTTCTTTCTCTGGATATGGATAGCATTTTCCATCATGAGTCTTTTGGAATTGTCTAAGACCATTGTATTGCTGAGAAGAGCTAAGTCTATCAAAGTTGATCATCGCACAATGTTGATGTAACTGTGTACAATGTCCTCCTGGTTCTGATGAAGCCTTTCTTGACCCCTTCCCCCAATTACTTATAAATTCTCCCTGCCAATATGACCTTGATTTTCATATATATACATATATATAATATATGTATATATACATATATAATATATAATATATATGTATATATGTATACATGTGTATATATACATGTATACATATATATGTATATATATACACGAATCAAATGAGATACCACTTAAGGTGCTTTAAAATGCTCTACAAATGCTAGCTATTATTGTGTTCATGTTGTTTCTCCAGATAAAATGTAAACTCCTTGAGGGCAGGAATTTTTCATTTTTTGTATTCCCAGTGCCTAGCAATACACTTGGCATACAAATAAGTACTTACTGAATGCTAGTTGATTGATTGATTCCTCCAACACCTCAGGGTAAGTAAAGCTAACCATAGACCCTTCATCATACTCTTTTTCCCTTTGCTTAAAGAACAAGAAATACCCAAAGAAACATAGAGCTGGAAGATCATTTAGCTCAACTCAGGGATGTGCTGGTAAATATTGAAGAACCGATTCTCTTGAAAAAAAATGTATGATGCATTTAAAAGTTTAATCTTTTTTTAAAATTCAATTTTATTTTATTTTTAGTTCTCTTCTTTACCTTTCCCCCTTCTTCACACATTGGGAAGACAAGAAAAACAAAACCTATTACAATATCTATAGTCATGGTGATGTGGATACAAACAGTACCCTAGGGGTTAAGAAGAATATTAAGAGTTGCTTTTCCAGTACTTTATGCAGAGCCTCCTGAGATTGGCCTCATTCTGTATCTCATCCTGTAAATTGAGCATTCTAAAGTCCTTTTCTCTTTATCTTGAAATACCATAAAACTTCTCTTTAACCTGTATCAAAAGAATTGCTTTTGTCTCCCTTATCCTGTATTCCCCCCTCCATCCCTTAATCTTTAACCTCTGTCCCCTTGCTCTGTCCTTAAATCTTTAACCCATCATAAAACTATAAAAACCTCATCCTGGACCATAAAGAATTTCTTCCCTCATCCCATGTCATAAAATCCTTTATTGTCCTGTCCTTAATCTTTAACCCCCATAAAAAACTCTAAAGCTACATCATCATGCTGAAATCTCTATATAAGCCTGGTTCCTCCAAATATTAGGGCCTTCATTAGCTTTCTTGCTAACAAGGCCCGTGTGCTTCACGTAATAAAGCTCCCAATGGCTAAGGGAACATTGCCTAAGTGAATTCTTTCACATTTGAACCTCTCTCCCAAATCTGACCTCAACAATGGAAAACAAATTTTCACATTTAGCCGTGTCAAAAAAAAAAAAAGGAAAGAAAAGGAAAGGAAAGAAAGAGAAGAAAATAGGCTTCAAAATGTGCTCTGAATTCATTAGTTCTCTATCTGGGAGGGGAGGGCAGATAGCATATTTTATCATGAGTCCTTTGGAATTGTGGTTGGTCAGAGTCACTGTCTTTCACAGTTTCAGCTGTGTGTCTCTGAGACCAGCTGCAGAGCAGAGACTCAGTTCTAGTCTTTAGTGCAACACACAAGCCTGCAGTGGAATAACCAAGGCAGGAAATCCAGACCAAAGGGGATCCAGTGGTTTAGTCTCTCTGAACCTGCAGAACTTTCCAGCAGACTAATAGTAACTTACTCCAGTAGAGGTTTACTGAAACTCAACCACACACAAGCCAACAGACCCAAAACCTGGGTCAGGAATTTGCAGAGTTCAGACTAGAAGGGCAGTGAACAGATCTTACCTAGATCACACCACTTTGGGAGCACTGAAAACTTGTAGGTCCCCAGATAGAGCTTTGAAACCAGCAGAAAAGTACCGAAGCTCAGCCCAGACATCCCATACCCCACCTCCCCCCCAAAGTGCTCAGAGCCCAGCACCAACATAAAGTTCAAAGTCAAGAAACAGGCTGGAAAAATGAACAAACAAAAAAAGAATCTGATCATAAAGAGTTACTGTGATGACAGGGAAGCTCAAGACACAGAGAAGAAGATAATGACTTGAAAACAGCACTAAGAGAAGTCTCAAAGAAAATTGCAGAATGGACATAAGACCAATACGAATTCCTAAAAGAGTTAAGGAAAGTTTTTTAAAAAAGAGCAAAAAATTATTTGAAAAAAATGGGAAAAAACGAGAGCTATACAAGAAAGATATGAAGAGAATTAACAGTTTGGTAAAAGATGTGCAAGAAAATAGTTCCTTGAAAATTAGAATTGGATAAATAGAACTTAATGACTCCATGAACCATCAAGACACAATAAAACAACATCAAAAGACTAAAAAAAAGAAGAAAATGTGAACTATATCATAGGAAAAATAACTGACTTAGAAATCAGATTTAAGAGATAATTTAAGAATCATTAGACTACCTGAAAGCCACATACAAAAAAAAAAGCTTAGATATTATATTTCAAGAAATCATAAAACTGCCCAGATATTTCAGAACCAGAGGGTAAAGTAGAAATTGAAAGAATCTACCAGTCAGCTCCTGAAAGAAAACCCAAATGAAAACTCCCAGGAATATCATAGTCAAAATCCAGAGCTCTCAGGTCAAGGAAAAAATACCTCAAGTATCCAGAAAGAAAGAATTCAAGTATTACGAAACCTCAAGCAGGATCACACAAGATATAGCAGCCACCATTATAAAGGAGCAGACAGTTTGGAATATAGTATTCCAGAAGGCAAAGGATCTAGGATTGCAACCAGAAATAACTAGTCTGTAAAATTTGAGTATAATCTCATGGGGGGGGGGAAATTAGACCTTTACTGAAATGGAGAACTTTTAAACATTCCTAATGAAAAGACCAGAGCCAAGTTGAAAAATTGACATTCAAACACAACACTCATATGAACATAAAAAGAGATGATAATTTAGCCTGTGGGAGCTGATGAAGTTACCAAGTGATATAGCAAAGAGAAAAAAGAGAAGAGAGCCCAGAACAGAAGCCTTGAAAGACACTCATAATTAATATCATTAATGTGGGTACTTCCTCAAATGGTGTAGATGACAATCCACACTTTCTCAGGCTTTGAAATTCTTTTCCATATCTTTTCGTAAGCCTACCATACAAGATATATCTAACACCTTGGAAGCCTTCCTTGAGGTCTTCTAACAATTTTCTGAAAAATATACTTTATGCTACTTTTTGCATAGAAGTCATTGTTAACAATATGGTGTAGGCTATTTATATCCACCATGTGTCTCTCCAAGTCCTTTGGGTTACTCACAATTTTGATTTCTTGGTGATCATGGTTTTTCCATAATTTGTAGCCTTATAGTATTACTGCCAGAAAATTTGTGTTAAAAAGGTCAGTTTTATGTTAGAGAGAAGCTTGGGATCACTGAAGGTCTTGAGTAGTTTTCTAAATGTAATCTATCCATGATTTATTTTTAATGAACCCTTGTTGGCTCTCAGTGACCACTTTCCTTTCTAAGCACTCACAAGTCATTTGATAATTGGTTCTTGGATTTTGCTGGGAATCAGCATCAAACTCGTTAGTCTATAGTGTCCAAATACCACCTTTCCTTCTTTTTGAAATCAAGACAACTTAGAAGATCATCATAGATTTGGAGCTAAAAGGACCTTAGAGGTCATCTACTCCAATTCCTTCATTTGAAAAATAAGGAAGCTGAGAGGAGTTGAATGACCTGTCTGAGATCACACAGGTAATAAGCGGCAGAGCCAGGGTTCAAACCCAGAACTTCTAATTCCAAATTCATTATTCTTCTTTTCTGTGCCACACCTCTAGCATTCTCTATGAATTTTCAAAGATTATACATAGTTCTTCAATGATTGTATTGAGTTCTTTTAATACCCTGGGATGCACTGGTCTGGGCCAGGAGACTTGGATCTGATTTTACTCAAAGCAGCTAGTTGCTTTCTTGCCATTGCCTCAGTTATCTCTGGTTTTAATTCCCCCCAAAACATGTTTTAATTTCCATTTTGAAGATTATTCCCCTTGATAGAAAAGATAAATGCAAAACAAGAATTGAGTACTTCTGCTTTCTCCATCATTGATTAATATTATCCCCAATTTGCTTTCTTCCATCTTGGTTCAAAAAGCAATTTTTCTTATCTTTAGCCTTTTTGCCAAAATTACTAAGAATTTGTATCACCAGACTTGTAGTTTTGAGAGCATTCCTATACCTTTTGAGTTGTCTTCCCTTTTTGAGTTTCT